ACAATTTGTATTTATTGACAATAATTATGTAATGATTAAGTGTACAGAGCAAACAAAAAAAAAAAGAAATACACAGAGCAAAAAATACAACTGTCAAAGGATAACATTTGAAAAGAGCACGATTTACATTGATCGGTTTTTTTTCTGTTAGTTTCCGTATAATATAATAATAATAACAACAAGGGAATAGAGAGTCTACTAGTTTAGTTTTGTTTTATTCAAACTGTTTCTGTTTCAACTACATTAAATATTACTATTATTCAATAGCAGCATGATAATGTTCATGGATTAAAAGATAATTAATTGTATTGCTATAATCGTCATAATAATAATAATAATAATAATCTGTGATTGTCAAGACACACAATATCGGAAATGAATAAATAAATGAGTCAAATAAATTGAAATAAATAATTAAATGTTTTTTTTTATTCTATATCGAATAATAAATCATCACCAGATACTTTCATACCATTGTGTACATGAATTTTTTTAATACACCCGGATATTGGTGCTGTAATGCTTACTTCCATTTTCATAGCTGATAATGTAGCTAATTTTTGACCTTTTTCTACATGATCACCTTCTTTCACAGTGATTGTAACTAATTCACCAGGCATTGGTGAACCAACCGAGCCTTTAACACCTTTTAAAGCTTTTGGATGAAATGAAATAGACTGTGTAGAAAAGAAGAAAAAAAAATAAGAGAGAGGAGTTTGTATTTGAGAAGAAATGATGATATTTGTCAGTGACTAGTGTGTGTGTGAGTGTGTGTGTATATAGGATATTCTGAGTGTATAGATATCAACTCAGTAGTTTAAAGGTTAGGGTTTGATCTCTGAAATGGTCGTAGATAACCATTGCTTCTAAGAAGTGCCAAAATTGGACGAAATGACTGTCCAGTGATTCCTAGTTTCTATCGGTTATCTAACTACTATTGGTCCGTGATATCAAATAAAAAAGCATACTTGGTTTGATGTCAGTCAGTCAGCTACAATGTAGAACTTCGTACGTATGTACATAAGTTCAGGTTGACATACCATATTAGTACAGAGACGCAAATGTCAAATCAAATCCCATAGTGATAGAGATAGTAGAGGTATTAATGGCGATCAAGAAGATATTATTCAAGAAGTATAATCCAGTCAGATAACGTTAAAAAGACAAAGGTGGAGGTGTTGACGAATCCAGAAGATTAGGATTTGAAAGAGCACAACGAATGGATGCACTTGCGCCATGTCGTTCAAGGTCTCTAACCATTGGTGACTTTCGTCTCGCGGACCCCAACCAGGTAGCTCACATCTACTAACATGACTCAGTCCAATTGTCAGTCACTTGATGGATTTGTGCCATGTTTTGGTCTGGCCATCCCTAGATTTCTTCCAACCTATTCCTACATCACAAAACATAGCTCGACAAGACTCGCGGCACCTATTAGAGTATAAATCCGTACATGATGCGGAACAGCACTAGCATAATAACATAAGCACAGACACAAAGACAAAAGAGTATATACGTGTAAACATTAAACAAATCTGATGCTTACCTAACTTGAGAACAAACTCCTTAAACTAACAACACTAACAATCTTATTCCTTAAACACTAACAACAAAACTCAAACAAAATAGAAATCAACTCAGTTGACCTTGTGCCATTATTATATTGCTCCCCCCAAACTATTTAATGCGATCGATCACATTATCACACACATTAATAATCAAGGAGAGAAAAGGATCAGTAAAAAGCAAAAAAAATCATCATCATACTGCAACTCACCTTTGTCGCTTCTTTATCACTAATCAAAATTGATCTTAATTGACCATTCATTTCAAAGAAAACTTCACGTTCACCAGATTTGGTTAAATCACCAACAGCTAATGTTTTAATATGTAACATTTTACCAGTTTCTAAATCAACCTATTTAAAGAAATTGTTTATTATTATTATTATTATTATTATTATTATTATTATTATTATTATTATTATTATTATTATTAGATAATGAAACATAAAATGTTGGTTTTGTTAGTTTTTTCGCAAAAACCAATTAGAAATTGTTTGAATGTGTAGTACATAAATCAGAAGCAAATCATTGGTCAACTGAAATTCATGGTTCATTATATGGGGAACCGAACATGAAGTACGATCAATTTCACAGAATTTCACACTGTTTCTTTAAAATATAAATTGTTATGACAAGTTAATTATCAATTAGTATTCATGGTTGACCAACACGCCGCTACTTTTTAGGCAAAACACAAGGATTCGCGATCATCCCTGCCCCATACGAGAACGTACATGTTGTCTAGGTTGGTCTGCAGACAAGCGGACGTCCAAAAAGCAAGGATACCAGCAAAAGGCACCCGTACGGGCACTTATGAATCAACTCGATCTCTCCAACCGATCCACTACCCACAATCCCCAATCGGCAAGGGCGGCAAGGCAGGCTTCCCCAGCTAGATCTGGCACTTCGAAACGAATCACCGAGCCACTCAGCAGTGCACTAACTAACAGCCGGCCCAACAGTCTAACATCCAACTGCCTTACGCTGATACAATCGATCAGAGCTCCCAAGCCCCACATGAAGCTAAAGATCGAGTTTGTCCCACAAGGTCAGCCGGAACGTACACCCTCCCATGGGGTAGAGTTAGTTGTGTATTAAAGGCTTAGCTGGTTTGGTACAATACTATAGTTATTATTCTAAGATGATGTGTGTTAGTTGGAATTTGCTGATCAAGTAAAATATGGAAGTACTTTAATTATATCTGATATTCAAATAATATTCAAACAGTATCAGGTAAGTAATGGATCAGTTGGCAATATTTTTATTATTAGGGACTTGTTGAATTTCATAATTTACATCACAGAATGATCTTACTTAGATAGCCATTGAAAATCTGGAAACAATGGGGCAATAATTCCATGACTTGACAGAAAATAGAATGCATGACTTGAAGTTTGTGTATCGAGAGCTTAGCAATGAACTCATTGAGCTGACATCTAAAATTTTTCACATCTCACACTATTATCATACATACAAATTCAACTGTATCCCTTTTCACACTACATAAATGTCACATTTTTCATACCCATTAGGGTTTAGGGCACACAAATACACAAGTACATCTCATATGAATCACCTTGACCAGAGTGAAATGACGATGACTTGGTCAGACCTGCTCATTAACTGTACTAATTAATTTTGTTCTATTTAAACTAGGGTTAATTTAATTCATTTATTTATTCTCTGAATAAGTGGCTTACACTCAGTCATAATGAAACGTCAGAAAAATTGTTATGTATACACTATTTGTTAATTAAAAGAAAAAAACTCTTAGCACCTAAGATTTAAGCAGAAAATATGATAGTCTACAGAAATACCTTTCTTTTTAAAAAATATATATTAACTATTTAGTAGTCTAGATGATAAGGAACAAAATGGACTGTTGATATTAACTTGTACGCACTACTTACTGGGAATTCTTCAGCAATTTTAGGTCCAATGAAAAACATTCGGGTCGGTAATCGATCCACAGGACCATAGATTGTACGAAATTCTTCAAATTCATCAAATACCTGTTTGGCATAATTCAATGCATCCGTGTATGTGTGCATTGGAAAAGAAATAATATACATTAGAAAGAATTAGAAAACCGGAAAATAATCTCAAAGTTTAGAGAGTAAAAAAAACTGAGATCATCATCATCATCATCTCAGAAATGACGACTCAATTAGTTGGTGAGTTACACTTCCAGCCTCGAAGTTACTGGCTTGAATCCCGCTCTACCTACTTTGGTTTAGGAAACCGGTATGCTCGTCAACTGATAAGCTCAAAACGATTACGAGTTCACCCTACTTGGTAAACGAGAGCGAAGACAAATGATCCAGTGACATGATAGGTTACTCTAATCCGAGCGTCCTAACGCCCCACTAAGTAGAGGAAGAAGTCTTGACAAGACATAGAAAGTGTATTCTACAAGCACCCAATAAATCGAGGTTGAAAAGCACACAAATCGAGTTTATTTATATAAGATAGGAACGTCCTTGGAGAGCCACAAAAATAGCGTACTAAAATAATACGTCTATCAATAACAGTCAAGGATTTTCCGCGTGGGAAATGCAATCTCAAGGTCACTTGATCAACCGATGCGCTAAAACATAAAATCCAAAATTAGGACTTTTATCAAGTGAGTTGTGGGGATCTAACGTCCCCAACAGAAACTAGTTAGCATCATGAGCACTTATGTTTTTGAAGTGTGGCTTAAAGTCAAGTACACAACTCTGTTAATTGTAATATCCGCTTTCAGTGTACCAAACTTGTTAAGTGCTTCTAAATTTAGGTTGGAAGATGTACACTGCTGAAGAGTTTCATGCTAGGACATGACATAAAACTGTCTGTAGACTAATCACGATCTAAAATTTCTTGTTTCTGTATTGGAAAAAAAGTGACTTCATATCATATTACATATCACCAACAAACCGTTGATGTCTGGTTGGAGGAAAAAAGTTATTCTCTTCAAAATATCTCAAAAATTAATTGAAATTATCACTTGACTGGAGTCATAGAATAAACAAACAAACCGTTTCAAAATATTTCAGATGACATCAAAACTATGGGCTATTAACGATTTTTACGCTGTTTAAATATGTCCCAGAGTTAATGTGTAAGCATGGGAAAAATCACTTTCACTAAAAGAACTCAAGCTACAAGTTGATCCAATCGACGATGTTTCTTTTCGAAAATTGATAGTAAAATAAAAATTCTCTAAAATAAAGGATCATTGTATGCTAACTAATGATTGATAATTAATTCTCTCAATTCCAGTCGAGTTCAAACCAGGCTGCAGCCAACAGCATTGCATGGTCATTGCGTCATGCCGAAAAATGAATGAAATTGTAGTCGGACTATTGGACGCGGACCTAGTGAATTTAATGCGCAATGATTCACCACGAGACATAAAGGTCCTAGAATCGACCCCTTGGTGAATGTATGGGTGCATACTTGTTGTTGATTGATTTCTGGTTTGTTTTGTTACCCCAGCAGAAATATTAGTCTGTCATGAATACATCCCAAAAAAATGAGTTAATCACATCAGTCGGTCAGTAAAAAATTAGAACTTCGAACATGAGTACATCAGTTCAGGTTGCCATACCGCATCAAAACAGAAACGCAATTGTCAATTCAAATCCCATAGCGGTAGAGATAATGAAAGTATTAGCAGTAATAGAGAAGATTAGGGCTCGAAGATACTATTCAAGAAGTATCATTCGGTGAGATAACTTTAGAGAGAGGAAGATAGAGATGATGAGGAATTCTGAGGATTAGAATTAGAGAGAACATAAAGAGTGGATGCACCTGCGCCATTGCAAACGGTTTTGAGCCATGTTTTTCAAGGTCTCTAACCATTCTCTCTCTAATCACTGAAAACTTTGATCTCGAGGACCCCAACCAGGTAGTCTACATCTACCAACATGGTTCAGTTCACTTGTCACTGACTTCATGGGTTTCTGCCATGTTTTGGTTTGGCCGCCCCTAGATTTCTTCTAACCTACTCCTACACCACAAAACATAGTTCGTCGAGGCAGTCGGCGGTTTGGCATACGTAACACATGTCTCAACCACCTCAACTGATGAAGTTTCATTACTTCATCAATCGATTTGCCATCCCTACCTAGTACTCGTTTCCTTACGACAGCATAGCTTACTCGGTTGTCCCACGACATACGAGCCATGCTTCGAAGACATCTATAATCGAATACGAATAGCCTACGAATGTCCCCTACTCTTACCGGCCATGTTTTGTATCCGTGTAGTAGGACGGAGCGAACCACTGAGTATAGATTCATCCTTTGGTTAGCGAACGTCTATCTCACCTGCGCCATAGGTGACGCAAGTTGGCAAAAGCCAATCGAGTTCTATTACAATAACTGATAGCAAGTAATCACATTAAATCTTCAAAATATTTGCTTTTCAATGGTGATTTCGATAGATTCCTATTGTTATGAATTTAGACACTAATCGATATCATGTGTAAAAATTCACCAAATGGAATTGTGATTACATTCTTTCCTATCCCACATCTATCATTCTATCTACAGTGTAACCTTATGCAGCATAACCTTGAGCCAATGTGCACTCTACATTTCTTTCTGCCCACTAGCTGTAAATTTACCTCTATCCTCTATCTTGAGTTCGAAGAGAAGTATATGAGTATTCCACTCATCTCGCACAACCAACAACTATCTTAAACATCTGTTATCTTTTCTACACGAACTATCAAATTTTACAGCAAAGCAATTAAGGAATCATACTTTAAACACTATTATCCAATTAGTAGCAGAGAGAAAGACAGAGAGAGAGAGAAGTAAATATCACATAATTAGTTAGTATTAATGAGGGTATCGTAAAACATATAACGATAGTTAATCGGTCTATTGGAAGCTGTCAATGTGGAGAACATAGAAATACAATGCATACAAAATCAAATACATTTTTACCTTAGGATATAAAGCTGCTGACAATAGATCACGTTCATCAAAATCTCTTTTGAATTTTTCTTTTAATTGTTTAGATAATTTATCAAAGTCAAATGGTTCCATATGTGAACCAGCACGTTCAGTTTCAGCTTTTTGACCTTGCATAATCTGAAATTATTTTAATATTTTGAAGTGAGAAAAACATCAGTGGTTAAAAATTTATTGATGTAAGAAGTATAAGAAAAAGTGTTGGAAATTTTCTGTACTTCATTTTAATACTACTTATTATGTTTACCAAGAATCAGTAGTTTTAACTAAGGACAAAGATGTAATTGTGTATGTCACTGACTAACATTGTTTGTCATTGTAGGACTAGGATGAAAAAAAACTCAGGGCAGCCAAACCAAGAAGTATCATCAGTTGAAGAAGTCATTGACTGTGGATTTGAGTCATGCTAATAGATTGAAAACTGATATACTCGCCAAATGATATGCTTGAATGCTTTTACGAGTTCACCTTACTCGGTAAACAGAACGAAGAGCAATGACTTAGTGACACGATAAGCTATTCTAATCCGGCTGTCCTCGGCCCTGCTAAGAAGCCTTGATAAGCAGTAGAGAATGTATTCTACAAGCACCCAGAAAATTCGAGGTTGCTAAGCATACAAATCAAACTTATTTATAGAATTATTGCAACGCCCTTGGGAGAGCCTCAAAAAAGCATACTAGAATAATCCATCAACCAATGACAGTTAATAATTTCCGAGTGGGAAATGTAATCTGCAGGTCACCTAAGCTTCTCTTGGCGCGAAAACACACAAATTTAAAATTTCAGAAATAAATTACAAAATTAGGACCTTTTCCAAGTGAGTCCTGAGGATGTGACGTCCCCGTGCAATAACTATGATCTTCAGTTGTAAGTGTTACGTGATAACATCGCTCAAAATCAATTACTACTGCAGATGCATTCGCTCATTGTCTTCTTCTAGGTCATGAATTTCAGTATTTTGATATAATACACCTTATCACTCTGTCTTTTCAAAGCGAATTCTCAATGTTTAGTCTTTCTCATTGTCATTGTTTTGATTCGTTTGTTGTTCAGCTTGTTAATTTCATAATACTGTGATAATTTTGTTTGTAGACCTGGATTAACGTGTAATAACTGACTGTAATAAATGTGATGGGATTTGATTGTGACCGATTCGGTCTCGTGTGCGAATGTTACTTCTCGGCTGCCACACCGCGGAAGGGCTCTAGTTGTCAGAAGGGACATCGGCCTCGAGACTTCCGAAGGAAATCGGCTTTCATCGTGAGACGTCATAACTCTCCTAAGTGAAGAATTTCTAACTCCCAGAGAAGAGTTTATATGGTTTGGATTATTTTTTCGTGCGGGATGGGGTCGCCAACCCTAATCCCAACTCTCCTCCTTTATCTGGGCTTAGGGCCGGCAGGAGCGCCGAAGGATCTACAGGTGGAGTTAAATCTACTGGGAAAGACTAGTGATAATCTATTATTTCAATAATTACCAAATACTTTATAGTAATGTTGATTGGGGACTTAAAAACAACCTACAGATGAAGTTAATTACTACTACAAGACCTACCAATAAAAAAAAACTCATTTGCAAATTCATTTGTATGGGTATGTTTTTTAATATGCCCATTGATAATTAGGACCGTAATTGATCAGTCTATTTTGTCATGTATGAGTTCTGTGTGGATTTTTTTAGTAATTTCATTAATTCACAAGCATTATGAGAAGAGATGAATAGTGGCTTACAGTGTAACCCAGAACGTGCATTTCGTCCTGTTTGGGACTCGTCAGCTGGATGTAACTAAGCCCTAGAATGTTGATGTTCACTCTGGAATCTGGTCCCAATAATGTTTGCTTTAAATGACATCACGTTATAAACACTTAGCTACTCAGCCCAAATAGCCAGTGGCTTGTGCAATGAAATGAAATTCAATTCCTTTGCATTGGTTGTTTGAATCTTACCAATTGATGTGAACGATTGATTGAAAATGATCAGTCATCTATAGAGTTTATTTTACGTATAACAGTTGGTCAAAACTTATTTACTCCAATATTCAGACAATGAATGTCCCCATTAGATTTATATATATATATATATATATATATATATATATATATATATATATATAAAGATGTTTATTTCAACTGTAAAGTTCTAGGTAAGTGTGTTAGTCACCTGTTAGTGTAGTGATATAACTTACTTGCATATATTAAGTCATACAGCTGATGAGTCTCATACTAGGACGAAACGGGAGTCCAATACTTCCAGGTTTCTAATGATAGTCTAACAATGATTGATTGATGGTTTCAATGTGTAATAACAATTATAGTCATACAATCGATCAGTGATAATATTTTACTTACCTTTGTTCTAAGTGGTTCAGGGAATCCACCATAAGGAATACCAATTTCACCTTTGAAAAATTCAATTACTGAAGATGGAAATGATAATTCTCCAGCTCGATCTAATACTTGTTGAGCTGTTAAATTATTTTGTACCATAAATTGAGCTAAATCACCGACTATTTTAGATGATGGTGTTACCTGTGTGATAAATAATTTTCAATCAAAGGAATGTATGATAATGTAAAACTTTGATAAATTTTGCGAGATCATTGATGAAATTTTAATAAATGAAACAGAAATGTGCAAATAACAATTGCAGGATCTTTATTGTACATCAATTGGATTCTCCTCAAATATATCCTAATCCTTGTTTATGAATAAATCTTTTGCTTTTACTAAAGATTTCCACGCGAAGGCATGATGCAATAAAATTCATAACAACAAGACTTGTATTATTTCGGCTTGTATTAGTCAGAAGTGATAAGTCTGCTGGTTGAATGCTTCGTACTAACTTGCAATCTGCTTCCCAGAATTTATTGCGAATAACTATTCACTTGAATTGTGACAAATAAACCTTAATCTTCCTAAATGTTTCTAGGAAGTTAAATTCAAGGTAAGGTGCACCAATTTAAAAGGCCCATCATTTGACTACAGTTTAGTTGAACGATCGAGTACACTATGAAATAAATCGACCCTTCGATTTCCGTATATCATACTTAGGCAAACCACGTTTTGAACGACGGTGCTAATAAGAGGCTAAATACAGTTTTGTTGATGAATTTATTTCATGCAATCATTTAAGCAGACAGACATGAGAATGAAAAGTGTACAAGCAAGGGGAGGCAAAGTGGAGAAGGCGAGTGAGCCAACTCAATGCAATGAGGCATTTATAGTTAAACAAAATAAGCTAGACATGTAATAAGCGAAGTAAACAACACATATCGAATAAAAGCAACCAAGGCTATGAGCGAATAACTGACAAGGTCGAAAGATGTGTGAATACTAACTCGAGAATAATGGATTGATTAATTTTTCCAAACGCTGAGATAAGCCATATGGGCTCGGCATAAAAGTACACACACTACAAAAGTTTCTGTTGGTTGCTGATGAGCCAGGATGTTGTGAGCCTTTTCCTTGCTTCTGGAAACATTACCAAAGAATAACTGTAAGCCTTTTTACAGAAACAACCCTGAAAGTATGCAGGGGACAGACTTTCCAACTATCTTGTCGATATTTGTTTCACACAGTTCTATGAACACTCGCGCAAGATAGAGAAAGGGATACCGATGTGTACTTGACTACCAGTGTAAGTACGTGGCAGTGTTGGTGATCGGCGGATGCGTGTTAGTTTACATAAAGAGATGAGTGGTATGTAGATCAGAAAGTGCACCCGCGCCGGAAGTGCATGTGATGGTCGTGGCGTGATTACCTGAATGTTTGTGTCATCCACACATTCAAACATCATAAACTTCTATCGAATGCAGTATCTACATGCAACAATCCACCTGACTGATCAAGCATCATCATTCTCAGACTAATATCAGTTGAATGTACTGACCACTCACCGATTCATCTACTACTAATACTATTACCACGTGAGCGAGCAACGCATGACATTGATTGTCGTGTAAGCAGTCACGAAGTATGAGGAACATGTTTTTAGGCATGCATGAAACGTGAGGTGCATCGCCAACGAAAACCTGAAGCCCTATGTTACATTGTCTCATGGTTTTCACCTGATTAAGTTCACACTCCTTGTACTGTTTCGTTTCATGTGGTTCATTTTCGATGTATTGGAACTGTTGATTTACTATATGAGGACAGACGATAACAGAAAGAAGTGAAAAGAAAGAGACGGTGTTATTGAATGTGGGTGAAGGTTTGATAGAAAATGGGGAATGATACGTACAGCATGAGACTGAATAGTGTTGAGGAGCGCTTGGTGGTCGTACATGATTATTATTATTATTGGAGAAATCTCCTGCACTGTATCTAAAGGTAATGCCACGACGGATGTATCAGAATATTCTACACAGTATCCGGCACTTGGTTTGTTGCGATTAGATCTGGTAGAGACACTATGACTAGCAGAGCATTCGAATAATAATATCGAACCACTAGAGAGAAATCTGAAGAACACTGTACTATGAGGGCATCGCCGTGTATTTGCCGAAGAATTGGGAGAATGTACGAAAGCCAAGACACTTCTTATTCTTAGATAGTACAACTAAACCCATTTATCGTCCTAAAAGACCAGTACCTTATGAAGCCTTATCTATTGTTGAGCAGGAGTTAAATCGTCTTCAGAAAATGGATGTTATTGAACCAGTGAACTTCTCAGAATGGGCTGCACCAATAACGGCAGCTAAGAAATCCAACGGCGGTGTACATTTGTATGCCGGTCACTCAAATATCTCAATGAAGCCTTACAAGCCCATCAGTATCCTTTGCCGCTATACGATCACTTCGCCAAACTGAATGGAGACAAATTTTTGCAAAGTCAGATTATCAGAAGCATACCTACAAATCTCAGTAGCCAATAGATGTAAAGAGCTCCTCACCAAGGCATTATTCCGGTAAAACCGAATGCCCTTTGGAGTAAAAGCGGCAATCTGCATAATCCAACAAATTATAGATATCGTGTTACAGGATACTTTAAGAGCAGCAGCGCATTTGGATGACGTAATCATGAGAAGGGGTAAAATAAACTTGCAAAAGAAACTTGACCAGGTGCAAACACGCATAGCTGAATATGATTTTCGTCTCCGCGCATACAGTGTGGCCTTTGTATTCAGCAGGTACGATATCTCGGTTTTATTATAGATAGAGACAGAAGACGATCAGGGCCAGTGCACATTAATGGCTGTTAAAACCATGTCCAGGCAAATGGACATACCTAATCTACGATTTTTCAAGGGACTAATTAGTCATTATGGAACTTCTCTCCCTGATCTCCATCGCCTACGAACTCCACTAAACAACCTACTAGTAAAGAACGCCAGATGGAATTAGTCCACAGAATGGCAAGCAGTTTTCGAGAATATCAAGCAACTCCTAGCCTCCAACTTCTTACTTACACATTATGATTCCTCATTAGCTATTGTGGCTGCGTCAGATGCTTCAAAATCATGGTGTTCGGGCGGTTATCTCTCACCTATTTCCTGATGGATCTAAAAAACCAATCCCTCCACACAGCGAGATCTATAACCACAATAGAACGTAACTACAGTCAAATTGAGAAATAGGCACTATCAAATATTTTCGCTGTGTAAAGGTCCATAAAATAACATTCGAACACCAAATCATTCCATTAACTGATCACAAGCCATTACTAGCCGTATTTAGGTCGAAGCTATTCCTGTTTGTACAGTAAAAAGATTGCAACGATGGGCAAGTACTCTATTGTGTTATGATTTCAAGATAAGGTACGAACATACCAAGGACTTTGGACAAGTAGACACCTTGTCTAGATTGATTGGTTTACAAAAGAACCCTGAAGAAGATATCGTGATGGCTAAAATTGAAACTGAAAATGAAGCTCGTTTAAGTTCTAAATCACGCCATTGATGGTCTTTCAGTTTCAATCATAACTATCAAAGAAGCCGCTGGAGACAACAACTTGTATGTAACTTACGAAACGTGCAAGAGGACAAGCCAAATTCTATCTGAGGAAAAAAAAGTAGGAAAAGGCGTTGGAAGTGGATAAGACGCATATCGAGGAAAGTACCGAGTTGCGTCACGATACAAGACCAAAGAACGCATTACGTTGAGAATTGGAAGCAGACATGAATGGACGAATGAACTGGAAAGGATAGTCTAGAACAGAGAGTAGGTTGGAGAATACTGGTTGGCTGCCTATGCTCCACAAGGAGTAACGAGAGTAAGTAAGTACGTAAGAAGTCAAGAAGTATAATTCATTTTCATATAACTCATATCTGTACTTTCATACATGAACAAACTTGTCAGTATGTAACTTTCACGATGTATTGATTTTATCTCACTTTTAATGATAGCCTATGAATCTTTCTATTTTTGTAAATGAAAAATGAAATGCATATATATATATATATATATATATATAGCTCACCTTAATTATATCACCTAATAATTGATTAGCTTCAGTATATTTATGTTTCACTTTTTCAAATTGATCAGCTAAACCAAGTGAATATGATTGAAATTGTAAATTGGTGTATTGACCACCAGGTATTTGATTTTCATATACATCAGCATTACCAGAACGCATAGTTGTAGTACATTCAAATGGTCCATATAAATTTCTTGTTTGTTCCCAATAAGCTGAATAAGTTGATACATCTTCACTTGATAAACCAGTATCACTGAAAATTAAAAACAAAAAAAAAATAGTGAGATTTTATATACTTAAAAGCGTGAAATAGTTGAAGATGGTTTATACGGAACGCTATTCGATTTAGACATTGTGTTAATTGCTACTCGTCAACAAAGCATACCTTCGATTTCGTGGAGACAGGAATTAAGATACATGGCACTGAACTCGGTTGTCCGAGACGTCACTCCTGAGATTTTTGAGTCCCTAAATGTTGGGGATGTTAGATCCCCAGGACTCACTTGATAAATATCTTTATTTTGGATTTATTTCATGGACCTATCAGTTGACCTTGAGATTACACTTCCCACCAGAGAAATCCTTGGCTGTGAGTGGTTCTATATCATTTTAGTGTGCTATTTTTGTGACTGTCCCAAGGACGTCTCTATAGAGTATAAATAAACGCAATTTGAGTGCTTGGATTCATTGAGCGCTGTGTAAAATACAATTTCTACACAATATCAAGACTTATTGCCGATACCATTTGGTCAAGGGATCACAGTAGCCTACCTGGTGGCTGATTCGTTTTGTTTTGTTCTCGTTATTCGACTAAGGTGAACTTGTAATAGTTTAAGCATACCTTGAGACGAGCGTATCACTAATGACTTTCTTTAGGATTAAGATAATAATAAGTGATTGATCATTGAATAGTGATCAATGTCTTGTTTATCTAGTTTGTTAGTGCTTGAAATTAGACTTTATGCCAACCTTCACAAGTAAGCGAAGTGTACGTGATATATATATATATATATATATATATATATATATATATATATATATACCATTTGAAGAAGTTGTTTCAATATTCAACTTGGAGCTGTTATCAATGAGCCATTTCTGGTAAGGAAGTTTGATTAACGTTTCCTGTCTTCAAAACAATCAATATTTTTTCAAATGATCAAGTTCAATGAAAAGCGAACTCGATGACTAAATCAAAAACTTCTATATCATGGTGCATGAATTTTGTCACAGAAATGAACACTCAACATTTGACTAATTAATGCCATTCTATGCTTTCTTCAGTTGATGCATGTTCATGGTAAAAATCTAATTTCGAATTAATAAAAATTTCGATGAATCATCAATCACATAGAAGGTCATTGAAAACTATTTAGTTTGTGATTTAAATCACAAGCTGAATTTTGCTAGACATCGATTGAAAATCAAGTGATACATTTATGTTCGGGGTTCGTTACATTTCAAGAAAATCAAATCCAACTTCAACAGTAGTCTTCAATTTTCAAATGAGAATCCTTGATTGATTGAAAGGTTAAACTACATGGAGCGTTGTACAAGTATCATTACTGATGTCAATGGATGATGGTTGAATAAAATTGCTAATTGACTGGATTTCGAAGTATTGAACGATTAGATAACAACGCTCTTCGTTTGTTTTTTTTGAATGAACACAAATAAGCACTCGAGCGCTGTGAATTATTTTCATTCATATTAATGTATGTAGAAAACTGGAGACACAAGTTTGACTTGGAAACGTTAAAATTTTAAAAACAGAATCAACGTAAAGAGAACTGAAGAATTCATATACACTTGACACTCAGATCAGATAACAAATTAATACACGCATATATTGAAATCAGTTCAGTTAGTCAGTCAGTTTCAACGTAGAACTTCATACGTGAGTACATCAGTTCAGGTTGCCATACCGCATCAGCACAGAGACGTAACTGTCCATTCAGATCCAATAGTGGTAGCGATGGCAGAAGTATTAGCGGTAATGGAGAAGATTAGGGTTCGAAGAAGCATAATCCAGTGAGATAAATTTAGAAAGAGAAAGATAGAGATGATGAGGGATTCAGAAGATTAGAATTTCAGAGAACACAAAGAGTGAATGCGCCTGCGCCATTGTAAACGATTTTGAACCATGTTGTTAAAGGTCTCTAACCATTGGTGACTTTCGTCTAGCGGACCCCAACCAGGTAGTCTACATCTACCAACATCACTCAGTCCACTTGTCAGTGACTTCATGGATTTTTGTCATGTTTTGGTTTGGCCGCCCCTAACTTTCTTCCAACCTATTCCTACACTACAAAACATAGCTCGTCGAGGCAGTCAGTGGTTAGCCATATGTAACACATGTCCCAACCACCTCAACTGATGTAGTTTCATTACTTCATCTATCGATCTGCCATCCTTAACTAGTACTCGGTTCCTAACTATAGCATTGCTTACTCGGTTGTCTCAGGATAAACGAGCAATGCTTCCAAGACATCTATAATCAATCCAATTCTTAATACAAATAAGAAAAATTACAGATAACTGTTATATCCTGAATCAATGTAAGGAGACGTTGATCAAAATAGATATGCAGACAAACAATGACAAGACAAGAGTGTTGACAACAATCAATCAACTCCAAGGTTGACCAGCACAAACTCCTGGTCACTTGTGAAAAAAATTCTTATATCTAACTTCGATCTCATGTTTGTGCTGGAGTTTCACGAATGGACCATCTAACCAAGAGAATGCCAATCTAACAAAAAGATGATCATGCAATTCTCTAAAAGGCAACGTATTTTCCACCAAGTTAAACAGTCCACAGTTCAACCTCTCATAGGGTTATATGTATCTATCGTAGTGAAGTCTTGTCACACTAAAATGTAACCGTTAGCCACTAGTTCTCAAGGTTTTTAAATGTTCATTAACTAGATTTAATTCATAATAGATATTTCTTCACAAAAGGATTTAGTATAAACATTGAAAACTATAGAATGATCATATTATTGAATACTCCTTAAAACTGGATAAAATCGCGCAGATTATATCAAATCAAAAGTTTCACAATGTAACACAATGTAGCAATAAATAATTAACAATTGAAATGTTTGAAAAAAAAATTCACACATCAAAACTAACTTGTCTGTATGTTTTAAACAAGCCACCAAAGCACCCATACTTGGTTGACTAGTTAAACCAGACATACTGTCCACAGCGACATCGACAATATCTACACCATATTCAGCGGCAGTCAATAAACATGCTACACCAGCACCCGCTGTATCATGTGTATGCAAATGAATCGGTATATCAGGATAACGTTCACGTATAGCAGATAAAAGTATACGAGCAGCTTTTGGTTTTAATAAGCCTTAAAAGAAAAAAAAAATTGGGTTTGTTTAAAATATATTATAGAAAAAGGGGTTAATTTATTAAACTTAAATATAAGTATGTGTAGTGGTGGAAAGTGAAAGTATATCAGTGTGTGATTCGTACCCTCTATCACGTACTATAGATGTATGTGTGCAGCAAGAGAGAGAGAGAGAGAACAAGAAGGGTAAACATAACAGAAGTGAGTCGAATAGAATCATTTAGAAATATTCCACTTTGATTTGAAAGGAAGTTGGAAGTGGTCAACCTGAAGCATGAAATCATTTCATGAAGTCATTTAACGCTGAACTGAACTGTGTTGGCATGTGCAAACTATTGGCTGAGTGCCATCAAATTACCGTAACAAATAGTTTGACACATTGGATGATAAGGTTCATATTTGATCATAATGACTCAGGTTCATTCACTCTTTTTCTTCCTTGAAATCATAAGTTTTTTCAAAGTATTTTTATTACTTTCCATTCAGAAAATTCATTCTCTAATCATATTGTTTGTGCTTGATTTTCCATACTACCAATGATATTGTTGGTACGTTTATGTTGACAGTGTCATCTTACTGTACTGATTGATGTAGTGCGGGAACGTAATCTGTGCATGTGTTGGGGACGTTAGATCCCTAGAACTCACTTGATAACCTTATTTTGGATTTCACGTTTGCGAGAATGGGCTGATCAGTTGACCGTGAGATTTCATTTCCCACCAGGGAAATCCTTGGCTGTGATTGGCTGCTGTGTATTTTAGTGTGCTATTTTTGTGACTCTCCCAAGGACGTTTCTATGATGTATAAATAAACGAGATTTGTGTGTGCTTGATTGCATTGTGCTTGCTGGGTGTTTTTAGAATATACTTTCTACGCTATACCAAGACTTCTCTTTAGCCGTTTCGGATCAAGTTAGCCTACCTGGATGCTGGTTCATTGTCTCGTTCGCGTTTATCGACTAAGGTGAACCCGTAATAGTTTCAAGCATACCTAATGACGAACCTAACAGTATGTACGTACGAGGTTTTACGTGGTGTACGACTTTCTTCTGTACAACATTGTTGGAGTAAGTAGCTAATATTCATGCAAGTTATTGACAGATAAAAATTTGTTCTCAATGACAGAAAGGTAAAAAACGACCATCAGAATTGTTTAAAAAAAATTATTTAAAAAGAACCAGTATTAAGAAAGATTACCAGAACAGGTTTCTGTCGAACTATATCATCTGTGATACAGGGATGATAATAATCAGTTAGGAGTGAAGGAGTAAGGATATCGAGTAGCTGTTCACTCTATATTTTTCTTACGGGTTTAAAACATGGTCCATTAAAGTAGGGATATACGGTAGGGTGAAAGTATTTGATTAATTGACATTTTTCGAAGAACTACTTGAATATGATGAAACCACTGAGTCAATAATGCTGAAATTAGGCGCTAAATACAAAGAAAAATTGTCCGGATGATGGACTATGCCATAAAGTTCCATTAACTGAGATGGTTAAGATATATGTTAACAGTGTTTAACCACTGCATACCTTAGCGCATAACGTTGGTAAGAATAAGTTGGAAATAAGCTATGGCTGAGTAGATGAACATATTGTATCAATCCATATCCACAGATCACAAGTCTGAATCTTATTATAAGGCACACACTTCTTGGTTGAAGCATGTTCAGTTATTGTTATCTGTCATTGGAGACGCCGTACGATATGACACGAAATCTATTCCAGTTCTACAATTCCATTCACTCTCAATCTTCTGTGAAATATTTAGTTTTGTGTCATCCTATTCAAGCTTAGTTATTCACTCTGAACTATTTTTTCATGTTTAGCTTCCCATTGTGAACGGAATTATTTCCGCTTCGTCAATTTCAGACTCCGTTAATTGCCTTTCATTCTTTGTAATATTGAGAGGTTTGTTAACTTGAATAGATGAACATTCATGTTAATTTTAATACTATGACTATAACTGACTGTATATTATAGATTCTCTTATCATTTATCCCAATTTATAAAGTATAGTACGATAAAATTCACTAAAAAGAGATCAAGATATGAAATAAAACTATGTAGTTCCATTTAAAACATAAGTCAATCATTGTTAGACCGCCATCAGAAACCTGAAAGTGCTAGACAGCCGTTTCGTCCCAGTGTGGGACTCTTCAGCAGTCCGACTCAACGGCCTCCGCTCGCAGGAATCCAACCTAAGACCTTCGGTTTCGTGCGCAAACGCCTAACCTCTAAATCACTGAGTCGGCATCCAACGATGTTAATGTATAACTTTTGTTAAATCTAAGGTTTCGCGCAGCCTCACCCATTGTCCTTCAATGTAAAACAACAATTCACATAACTCTATAATAAAAAGTTATGATATTTTCAACTGTTAAAACAGTTGTAATGTAGTTTTTTGAAGCATTCAACTTTTGACTAATCGCAATCATATGAATTATTCTGTTGTTATATTCAGGGTTGAATTTCGATCAAACATTGTCAGTATTTATACATTTTGAGCGGATTTTTTTTGTCATAAGTTTTATAGAAACAACGGATTTTCATTTAAAATGAGATCCAAAACACACATTTCTTTCATTTTGGAACTCATCAAATCAATGTACTTGATATATTGATGGAATCCATACAAAATGAAAATGTACTAACAAAGACTGATCGAAATTCAATCCTGAATATCAGTAAAATAGATGAAGGAACATCATACCCGTTAAAAAAAGTAGGTAACTGTCTGCATTTAAAAGCTAAGTGGATAACACTTTGGCGTTTGAGTCGAAAGATACTGACTGAAGTTGAGGTGCCAGTGTGAATATTACCATTACAATGCAGGTACATCCAAGCAACAAGTCCCAACTAGGACTAAACGTACGTCCTGGATTTCACTGCCATCCACAATTTATCTTCTTTAACTATTAGGTTTCAGGTTTGAACTCTATTCAATGTACTTCTGCTTGAGAAACCGATCAGGATATTCATCCAATATCCTAAGAGAATTATCGCTCAATTCCTACTGGTCAATTTTATGGTCATCCTAGATATCAATGTCACGTGCTCCAATCTTGTTTCTTATTGGTTGTCCTGACTATCAATGTCAATCCAAATGTTGTTTCCTATTGCTCGTCTTAACTGTCAATGTCACACACGTCGATGCTGTTTCCTATTCGACCAAAATGTATATAAACGCATTATCTGTAACGTTTTATAACCACGACCAGGACCAGGGCTCGGTCCCGGATCCTAGTCCGGGATCCTAATTCTCTTCTAGATTTGGACCTCATACTTTCTGGATGCTTGTAGAATACAGATTCTACTTTATATCACGTCTTCTTATTTTACTAAATATGGGGGTTGGGATAATCGGATTTGAGTAGCATGTCGTGTAGTCGGATCCTCGATCCTTAATAGTTCAAGCATATCAAGTTGACGTGTTTACGTGCAGGCGTAACAACGTAATTAACCTCTCACGTACACACACATATATATATACAAAGTCGATTGCAATTAAAATCATTCTACTCACCTGCCATATCTTTAATTCCTAATATATGAGTTCCAGCTTTCACTAATTGATCAGTTAAATCCATGTAATAATTTAAATTATATTTATCAAGTATAGGATTTGACAAATCACCAGAATAACATATGGAACCTTCAATAACTCCACCAGCTTTACCGACAGCATCCATACCCATAATTAAATTTGGTAAATAATTTAAACTATCAAATACACGAAATATATCAATGCCATTTTTGACAGCAACTTCACAAAATCTAAATATTCAAATAAAATGATAATAATGAAAGCGATTATACCAAGGGATAGTTTGTGTTTTGCTTGACAATGGATATGCTTGGAACTATTAAGAGTTCACCTTACTCGGTAAATGAGAGTGATGACAAGTGATCCAGTGACACGATAGGCTATTCTAATCCGAGGGTCCCAAAGCCCTCCTAACGATATCAAAACGTCATGATATGGAGTAGAAAGTGTATTCTACAATCACTCAGAAAATATGAGGTCCACAAGCGCACAAATCGAGTATATTTATACATCATAGTGCAACTCATTCGAAACCTAACTCTATCAACTCTTAGTTTCGTTTATCAGTTTTTGTCTTAAACTCACACTGGCTTTATATCTGGTTACTGTCTATTTATTCGTATATTGCAAGTAAGTGCATTCTATGTGCTTACTGAGTCGTTGGCTCATCATTTTCTCTTGTTTTTTCTTCTTCCAAATAATCTCATACGTTGCTCCTCACATCCCCACCTAGCACACAAGGTACCTTCGGGCTAAACGCAAACCAACCAAAGGCTGAAGTTACAATAGAAACGCCCTTGAGAGAGCTACAAAAATAGCATACTAAAATAAAATCCATCAAGCAATAACAATCAAGGATTTTCCAGGTGGGAAATGTAATCTCAAAGTCAACTGATCAACTCATGCGCGAAAACATAAAATCCAACATTAGAACTTTCATCAAGTGAGTTCTGGGGATCTAACGTCCACAACAGTTTGCCACACAATAGTCACAACCAACTAGAATGAAACAGTTTTATCATGGAATTTTCATTATTGACCACTATGATTATAGCACAAAAATATAGTGTACTTTTTTTACTGATCAATCAGAGTTAGACATTAACACCGTCGGATGCCGGCCCAGTGGTACGATGGTTAGGTACCAGGTTCGAATCCTGCGAGTAGCAGGTTTTGTAGATGCGCATTGCTGATAAGTCCCATAACAGGACGAAACGGCCATCCTTCAGTGCTTCCAGGTTTCTAATGGTGGTCTAACAATGACTGGTTGATGATTTCAAATGTGTTCCAAAACTCTAACTGACTTATTTGTATTTTTTTTAAAAATTCTGATGAATAATTGATTAGTATTGATATACATTTTCGTTTATTAGCTTTATTGTTGGACAAAAAACTTACATACATACACCCACACACACGATGAAAACACTCAATATGAAGAATACTTTGATCAATATCAGTTTTGTTTAGTTATTGAACATAAAAGTACAATGCAGTGAATATTGATTTTACGTAAATTCTAGTTTTAATAAAACAACTTTTTTATTTTTTTTGGAAAAAGACAGACTCGCTATCATCCTATAGACTTTTTTGTTTACAGAATGGGAGAGAGAGAGAGAGGAAGAGAGATAGAGCGAAGTGAGTAAAACTTTTTATGTTTTAACAATTTAACTAACCGTTTAAAACTGAAGATAGGTACATGATAGTTTTGTGCGTTTTATTTGCTCACTAGTTCATTATTTATCACAAACAATTTCAAAAAACATACTGCACATAGCGTTGAGTCATTGAAAAACTAACAATCAACTATATTGGAACTTCACACATAGAATCTAATCAAGAGCTAAAGACGAATTAGGCAAACATGATATTGAATCAATGAATTCATCATGGTTAGATCACCATTAGAAACCTGGAAGTATTAGACAGCCGTTTTATCCTGGAATGGAGCTTACCAAAAGTGCGCACTCACGACCTTCAGTCTCGATCGCGAACGCTTAACCTCAAGACTACTGAGTTGACATCCACTAGTGTTAATGTCGAACTGAAAATAGTACACGACAGTTTTGTGCGTCTTTTCTCTCTCACTATTCCATTGTTTATCAAGATAGATTTCAAAAAAACATGGTGCACACAGTGTCAGGTCGTTTTCGAACTAATAATCAACTATGTTGGAAGTTTATTAATAGAACCTAGTCGGGAGCTAGAAAAAGATTAGAAGATCGATCATTGTTAGACCACCGTTCTTCCTAATGTGTAACAGCTCACTAGCAGTGCGCATCCATGACCTTCACTCTTGGGGATCGAACTCAGAACTTTCAGTATCGCGAACGAACGCATAACCTCCAGACAACTGAGCCGGTACCCAACGGTATTAATGTCTAACTTTATTTAATCAATCCAAATTCATGGACGCGCACTGCTTATGAGTTCCATACTAGGATAAGACGGCCGTCCAGTGTGCTTCCAGGTTTCTAATGGTAGTTTAACAATGATCGATTCATGATTTCAATGAAGCCTTACATCCTCCATAACTCTATGATGAAAAACATGATATTTATTACTCAGTAATGAATCAATTGTTAACTATTGAATGAAGCTTGAAATCTTGGGTTTCAAAAAATTTAATATCTTATATTATAATAGATGATTATGAAAGGATGTTGCTTATTTTTTCAAGCATTTATCAGTAAGATATAGTTTTGTTCTGTTTTTTTCATCTTAATGAAACGAATAATTTTTCTGAATAATTTAAACTATACTTAAATCCTCAAAGACAAAAGAAAAGAGGTAGACCAAAGGACGCATTACGTCGAGAATTGGAGACAGATTTAAAAAGAATGAACAGCAATTGGAACTAGAACTAGAAAAGAAGGTCCAAGACCGTGTAGGTTAGAGAATGCTAGTGTCCGTGGCCTATGCTCCTTTAAGAGTAACAGGCGTAAGTGAAGTAAGTATGAAAGATTAAATAACTAACTTGAAGATGCTCTTTCCAATAAAATGAAAGACTTATTATAGGAATAGACGAATTATCATCATATTGGTTAGTTTACAGTAAATTGCCATTCAACATGAATAATTCACCATTGATCTACGTAGCTGATCGAGATTAGACTAAATTTATAGTGACTATGAATGTGTATTGATTAGGTAATAATATTCATCAAATATCCTAAGAGAATTATTTTCGGAAGTCTAATTCTATGGGTCGATTCCTAATGGTCAAGATTATGGTCGTCCTAACTATCAATGACACACTACAATGTTGTTTCTTATTCGACCTAAATGTATAAATACGCATTATCTGTGACGTTTTATGACCCGGACACTGGTCCTCAGTCTGGGATCCGTGTCTTTTCTGGACTCGGAACTCGTACTTGTAGAGTACAGGTCCTACTTCATATCAAGTCTTCTTTTATGCTCAATGGGGGTTGGGACATTCGGATTTGAGTAGCATGTCATGTCGCCGGGTCGTCGATCTTCGCTCTCGTTTTCCGACTAAGGTAAACTCGTAATCATCCAAGCAAATCAAATTTGACCTGTTTACGTGCATACGTAACAAAGTGAAAAACAAAATGATGCTAAACTTTAGAATACAATAATTTATATTTTTAAAATAAAACACATTTACTCACTTGTATACGATATTATCAGGATAGTTTTTATAACCAACTGCATTGGCACCACGTAGAAGCATTTGAAATGGAATATTAGGAATAATAGCACGAAGTTGTTCCAAACGTTCCCAAGGACATTCATGCAGGAAACGCATGCTTACATCGAATGTAGCACCTAGATTGAAATTTTGTAGGGGGAATTAATGAATAATGGACTTGATATTCTGATTGTGTTTGAAAAAACTTGCTATTTCATCAGAGAGTAGGAAAATTATCAATGAGAATTTCAAGAAATTTCAAAGGTCGCCTAATTATCACTGATTATCATTACAACATACCTTAAAAAGATCTGCTAAGTTTGGCTATCATTAGAAGCTTCGAACTACGATTAATCTCAGCAAAAGCAAATAAAATATATATAGGTTATTGAACGACGTAAGTTTCTACCATTAACTTTATAGTCATTATCACAGAATGGTTAGATAATCACTGAAAATTAGGAAGTACCGAACAGATGTTTTGTCCTATTGTGGAACTCTTCAATATTATCCATTCACGATACCATCAGGGCCGAATTCAGAAACTCCAGGTCTTGTCATAAAGGCTTAACATTTAGACTACTGAGTTGGCATCCAGTAGTTTAAATTTCTAACTTTATTCAAATTGTTAAATTGTGCAACCGTTTTCTAATGCTATTAATGGGTAACAACTATATCACACTCGTTAAAGTTGAGCGCCACTAGTCACAACTTCTCATTAGAACATCAAGAGAGTTATCTCGCGTAATTAATTACTAATGTAAACACGTGATTATCATTTGTATAAGGAGTTGAATTTTGTGATTTAGATTAAGAATTAACCTTGGATAACCACTGAAAACCAGGATGCATATCACAGCTATCGTGGGAGAGAACAGATGCGCTGTCCCATATAACTGGATGAAACACATGTCCAATGGATCTCCGACTTCCGATCATTGTCTAACTAAGCTCAGTTCGTAAGGTTATTCCACTAGCATTGACTACAATATGTCAGAGATGCCTACCAATAATTAAATGAAAGAAAGTTGTATAAGACAGAATCGTCTATCGTTGCATTTACTTAACAGTGAGTGAGTGACATTATTCACTGTTATTATTCCTTATAGGTCCGTCTATAACAAATTAAACCAAATCTAGCTTATTCCAACATGATATAATGCCTTTGTATGTATGCGTGGCTACATGTAGAGATCGTCAGTTAAGAATTATCAGCCTACTAATAATATTTATCAAGCCTTAAATAGCTTCCCAAGATGTTTCCACTATAAACTACAAAATTCCTAGATAATGAGTAGCATATTATGCAAAATATTCTTATCCTAATCAATCGACGTATTCGCACTATAGAATCCATCAAGTATCGACAACCTCAACTTTCACTGATTCCTAGTTCCAATGTACATGAAGACTTTAGCTGTTAATTTGAATTATTTAGGAAAGTGCACACTTCCAGATTCGATTAAACCATTGCACTTAAATTTACATCTTTCCATTATAACAGTTCTATTAAGATCATATAACTCATGTTTACATTTCCATTACTTCCTATATTAATTTCAGTTCTATGCTATCCATCTTGTCGATTTCAACTCACTGAACTGACGCGTAACGTGTAACAACTTTAGTCATTTCATACTAGTGTCCAGTTCTATATTGATCAAAACTGTACTTAGTTTGGAGTCCTATTCTAAGCATGATAATGAGTAGTAGTACTATACAACTGGGCAGGTCAAAGTAGTTGGAACAAGTTTTGGATTTACAGCTTGCTGACTGATGGTCAAATGTCTTCACCACTAATCCACAGCTGAACACAGCTGATATTATAGTTACCTATTATTGGCTAAAACTGTGATAGAAAGTATATTTTATTATCAAAACCCTCAGGGTGCATTTTGAGCATTATGAGCAAAGATGGATAGTGCCTAGCAATGGAATCCAAGATGCGCGTTTCTTCCTAGTTGGGACTGGATAGTTGGATGTACCTACATCCCAGATTTGACATTCACCTCAACTACCAAGGTCACCGAACAAAGACACTGAGAATCCTCTTAATCACATTCACATTCATTGAAAAACACATTATGTAAGCAAATTCTTAGTTCATTAATATGCCTCTACATAATTATAGATTATATCACATTTTTAACCTTAAATGATTGTAAAATGGAATAAAATTTACGAAAATTTCAATTCAATATTACAATTACATTTTGCACTTTCTACAATAATATTTATCAAGAAAAATTATATAGTACATTGGTAATGTGACAGAACTTGAAGATTATACGGTAGAAAAATGGTTATAACTACGTAGAGGCATCTTATACTTAGTGTTCATACAAATCAAGAGAAATCGATTTTTATTTTTACAAAGTTTTGGAGTATATCAATTAATTCCATCTTTAAAATACCTTGTAAAAATATATCAAACCTACATGGCTTGTCTCAGCCTTTGGACAGTTTAATCAATCCATTCTCCTAGACTTATTATTCACACGTCTTTCGACCTTGTCTATTATTCGCTCATAGTCTTAGTTACTTTCATTTAGATGTGTGTGTACATGTTCACTTTACTTATTATATGTCTACCTTACTTACTTACGCCTATCAACCCCAATGGAGAATAGGCAGCCGGCCAGTATTCTCCAACCTACTCTGTCATGGGCTTCCCTTTCCAGTTGTCCAATTCTTGTGTTCATTCTTCTCATGTCTGTCTCCATTTGTCGGTGTAATGTGTTCCTTGGCCTTCCTCTTTTCCACGTCAGGGATTGTCTTTTGACGCACTACCTTACTTTACTTTGACTATAAATAATTAGTTATGCTTCATCGCATTGAGTTGGATCAATAACCTTCTCCACTTCGCTTCGCTTTGCCTGTGCGCTTTTCAATCTCGTCTATCTGTTTAAATGAATTTATGAAATAAATTCATCCACAAACCTGTATTTGACTGCCTATTACTTCCGTTGTTCAAACGGGGTTTGTCTAAGCATGATATATGGAATTCAAAGGGAAGGTTTATATCATAATATACTCAATCGTTCAGTCAAACTTGGAGTCAGATGGTGGGGCCCCTAAAGTGGTGGTGCACCTTACCTTGATCGGATGTAAAGACAATCTGTTCGAATACAGTTTACTGGCAAACACTGAATAGTTTGCGGACAATCGCAGAGCACAACAAATTGCACACACACACGTACAAACAAATAACACAGAATGTTCATAACTGTTCATAACTAAACAACCTAAGTAGTTCCAGTTTGTATATTTATTGAACAGTTAACATATTTTTAAAAAAAGCAAACTAATATTACCAAAACCATCATCATACCTCCCCAATTTTCAATACTAAACAATTGTGGCATTTGATAAGCCAGATATGGTGCAATACGTAATAGATCAAATGTACGTACACGTGTTGCTAACAATGATTGATGTGCATCACGCATAGTAGTATCTGTAATCAAAAGTTGTGGATGTGATCGAATAGCTTTAGCAAACTTCTCTGGTCCACCTTCTAATAGTATGTTACGCCAACCTTTTGGAATATGATTAGCTACAATGAAATTAAAAACAATAATACACGCAACCATGTATAAGTGTGTTAATACAGTATGAGCATACTCTATCATTAGTGAATATGTGAAAAATGTTTATTCACTCCAGGTGAGTTAGTGTGTGAATTGTAGATTGCATGATTTCCCATAGACTAACAATACCAATCGAAACGGTGCAGGTCAGTTAGTTATAACGTAGAACTTCGTACGTACGTATGTACATACATAAGTTCAAGTTGCCATACCACATTAGCACAAACAGATGAAATTGTCAATTCCAATTCCATAGTAGTAGTAGTAGTAGAGGTACTAGACGTATTAGCTGTAATCAAAGAGATTAAGGATCGAATATATCATTCAAGATGTATATCCCAGACAAATCGATTAAAAGAAGAGAGCGAAAACGGTCATGAGGAATTCAGAAGATTAAGATTTGAGAGAACATAAAGAATGGATGCGCCTGCGTCATTGCAAACGGTTTTGAGCTATGTCACTCAAGACCTCTAACCATCGATTACTATTATATCGCGGACCCCAACCAGGTAGTCTACACCTACCAATATGGTTCAGTCCACTTGTTATTGACTTCATAGATTTGTGCCATGTTTTGGTTTGTCCGCTCCTTCCTTTCATCTAACCTACTCCTGCACTGCAAAACGGTGCAGATACTTTCAAGTCGATTACACTAATGATCACATTATAACTTAATCAACAGAATTCGCTTGATACTAAAAAACAAAGACTCGACAAACAACACATCGGTCACCATTACACAGTTGACTGATCTATTGAAGTTTGTACTTACAATAAACACCTATCCCAGTTATATTTATTAATTATCATGAGTAGTGTAATTCATATTGACTTTTCTTCTAATTGTTTTTATCTTATCTTTTAATTTAGCTAGTCTGATCCTTATTTTCCATCACATTATTTGAAAAGAATCCAACTAATATCGATGAATATCAATCTCAACCAAAACTTCATTATCTCATTGCATGGTCTAAACAATCAATAATTTAACGAAAATAAGAACGAATTGATACAAACTGATTAATATCAGTATTTCTGAACAATAAAAAATGAACTACTCATAAAGTTGGATAAGGGTTGGCAGCGCAATCTATAACGTGTGTTTCACCATGTCTGGAACACGTCAGCCGGATCATATCTTCATCTCAGTATTGATTGATATTCACACTAGAACTCAAACCCAATATCTTTCACTTCAAACGTCGAACATATTATCTGCTAAGTTATCGGGTTCTGATAATCACTAGCCTATGCAATGGAATTAATTTTTATTCGTTATTTGTACAAGTTTACACCTCGCCTCGTTGTTGATGTTAATCACTGAAATTCATTAGTCTCTTTTGGTATACAGATGCCGAAATGGGTCATGAAGAAATCGTCAAAAGTTTTCAGTATATTTGAATAGTGGATAGAAGTGGAATCCAGAATGCTTGTTCCATTCCACATAGCAATCGTCATACACCAAAACTCAACTCTAACATTACGCTTCAAATCACTAATGCATTATTATCCGGTGAATTGACTAATCGTTGATCGATTAGTCAAAACTTCTCAATATTATTAATCAGGCGAAATAAATCCTTTGAAGTGATGAATTAGAAAATAATCAGTTAGGAAATGGAATGATTAACAGTGGAGGAGAGGTCAAGGTCACCACAACTAAGGAGTTTTTGGCAATAATAAATCGATGATTCAGTGTCAGCTGTTGAGGTCAACCACAATAAAAACAATGAATAATTCACAAATGTTTCGCAATAAAGCAAACACAAAGAAGGATATAATTCAGAGAATAAAGTTTTTCATTTGGTGAAATCTATGAGTGAGATCATTATCATTCAGAGATCAGTGGAAAGATGCAAAGTAGTTTTCGTTCAAGAGAGAACATCATTTACAGCAATATTATCAAAAACTAGGAAGGCATGGAATAATCCGATTTATGGCTAGCGGTGTGGCCCAGTACGTATTTTGTTCTAATTAAGATTCAATCAATCAATAGCAACGTAGAACTTCGTACGTATATATATCAGTTTCTGTTGCCGTACCACATTAGCACAGAGATGTATTTGTCAATTCAAATCCAACAGTAGTAGAGGTAGTAAAGGTATTAGCAGTAGATAAGGATAAAGTGACGAAGAATTAAAAAGTTTGGGATTTGAGAGAACACAAAGAATGAATGCACCTGCGCCATTGCAAACGGTTCTGAGCCATATCATTCAGGGTTTCTAACCATCGATTATTATCATTTCGCTGACCCTAATTAAGATTCATCAATTGTATATACATAAGTTCTGATGCAGTTGTTTACACTCAGACTCGAAAACCGAAATATATTTTGCGTTTAAAACGCTCAATGTGTTATCCAATGTTCTGTTGAATCGAGATATCCTTGTGAAATTTGATGCTGCATTTAGACAATCCAACCAAGAGGCAGTAAAACAGATTAATCAATTGTAGTTTTGAATATCCCAAAACGAAAACTGCAAAGTTTCACCATCATTTTGATTCACTCTACTAATCATGATAACTTTATCTTAGAATATTAACAGAAATTCAATTCTTGAGGCTGGTAATCATTGATGAACATTTTCGCAAGTGAAACAAACATTGATCATAGAATCAGATAACCACTGAGGTATGATGTTGCAGAATTGATAGTGACTGGACAGTCTGATCATTGAGCTGTGTGATTCAATGATGACGCATGTTATGAAGTTAGGTGTTTTCCCATAGGTGTATATATATATATATATATATATATATATATATATATATATATCTATGTTACTGAAGAGTCTTAAGTAGATTAAGAAATACGTTAAATATTTCGCCACTTCTGTTTTGCTCGTCAATTGATAATCTTGAATGCTATTACGAGTTCACCTTAGTCGGTAAACACGAGAGTGAAGACAAATGATCCAGTGACACGATAGGCTAGTCTAATCTGAGCGTCCCAATGGCCCAATAAGTAGAGGGAGAAGTCTTGACAAGACGTAGTAAGTGAATTCTACAAGCACCCAGGAAATATGAGGTCCACAAGCACACAAATCGAGTTTATTTATACGTTATAGAAACGTCCATGGGAGAGCCACAACAATAGAGTACTAAAATAACGCATCAACTAATAACAGTAAAGAATTTCCCGGATGGGAAATGCGATCTCATGGTCAACCGATTAGCCCATATGTGAAAGCATGAAATCTGAAATTACGACCTTTATCAAGTGAGTTCTAGGGATCTAACTTCCCCTACAATTTCCATTAGTTCTCCCGTCAATATCAGTTCATGTTTTAAACTTTCTGTAAACATAAGATTAACTAGTTCAGGCTTGAAAATTATGTTATATGTCTGCCAACCACCCATTTGAGTGAGGAAACTAAGAGTGAGTACCTTCTTTGGAATGTGGAGTTAAATCCTGTTAGGATATTTATCCAATATCCAAAGAGAATTTTAGAGGTCGATTCCTATTGGTTAATTTCTAATGGTCAATTTTATGGTCGTCCCAGATATCAATGTCACGTGCTCCAATGTTGTTTCTTACTGGTTGTCCTGACTATCAATGTCGCTTCAAATGTTGCTTCCTATTGGTCGTCTTAACTGTCAATGTCACAGACTTCGATACTGTTTCCTATTCGACCAGGACCAGGACCCGGTCCTGGATCCCTTGTCCGGGATCCTAATTCTCTTCTGGATTCGGACCTCCTACTTTTTGGATGCTTGTAGAATACATGTTCTACTTCACATCCAGTCTTGTCTTCTTATTTTCACTCAATATGGGGGCTGGGATAGTAGGATTAGAATAGCATGTCGTGTCACCGGATCCTCGATCCTCGCTCTCGTTTTCCTACTAACTAGGTAAACTCTTAATAGTTCAAGCATATCAAAATGACGTGTTTACGTGCAGGCATAACAAATCCTAATCCAATAACATACACCTGTGTTAGTATCATCATATATCACATTTTGATCACTTTTATATAACAAGAAGAAGAAATTTTCATCAATAACAACAAAATAAAAACTCATCATTTACCATAAGAAACTGTTGGTACAGTTGGTTCAATTTCAGATGGTGGCAAATTGGTAGCCAATAGAGTAGATGGTCCATTCACCATTATATGACCTATTAAGAAAAACAATAAAGTATGTAGAGATGAATACAACATCATAACTCTGTGAATTAAAAGAAAAGAGGAAGGCCAAAAAAAAACACATTACGCTGAGAAATAGAGAAAGATATGAGAAGAATAAACAAAAATTGGACAGAACTGGGAAGGGAAGCCCAGGAGAGAGTAGGTTGGAGAATGTTGCTGGTCGGCGGTCTATGCTCCATTGGGGGTAACAGGCGTAAGTATGTAAGTAAGTAAGCAATAGCTCTAAGGGGTTTAGGAAGGTTTGATTTCGACCAGATTGGTCTCGTGTGCTGTTACGGGTATGAGGGCGGTTGTCACTTCCTGGCTGCCCACACCGTGGAAGGTTGTTTCTTGAGAGACCTGAAAAGGAAGATAGATTAGTCTTGGTGTTAGAGACCTGGGAGCGTGATCGCAGAGCCCAAGAGACAACTGCTTGAGGCCGGTCACGCACGGCCTTTTTATGAGAAGTTTTTTGAGTGTTAGCTCCGCTCTTGAAAGCCCTTAGTGGGCACCCTTACCCAAGGAGACGGAAATCCGTGAGGTAGGGTGAGGTGTGACATTTTTAGGGTCGACCTTTTCTAACCCTTCCTTCCTTGTGAGAAGGCAGCATCGCTGCAGATGCTGGTTGTCCGAGGGAAACACCTTACTGCTGTCACACCCCTCTGCAGTCAGCAGTACGACTTCGTCCTCAGACCTTGAGTAGCTGCTTTTAGTCTCATCGTTCTCCAATCGACCTGCCTGGCATGGTAGAACGTTCAGGAACATATGTTCTAGCTAGTATAGCTCGGCTGGGTCATCACGATAGTCAAGCCCGACCACCTCGTCAAGGTAGCAGCTACGGTCGGGAAGCAATAGCTCTGTGAACAAATTTATCTGTTCAACTATATAATAGTTACTTATCAATTTAACTGACTAACTCTATAAATAATTTTACAAAAGTTGAATAGTGATCAAAAGTGGAATTTAGGAACTGCGATTCAACTTATGTGTAAGACTCATTAGGTGGATTGGTTAATAAAGCACCTCGATTTCAGTCATCGAGTCCATACATAACATTCAATCCTTTTCTATCAACTTTAGTTTAGCCCGATTGGTTTAATTTAAGATTGAGTGTAAAATCTTGTATACAATCACAGAATTTTATTAAATTGATAGAAACACTAAGTTATTTATAGATTGACTAAACTTGTTTATTCACAACAGAATTAAATGTTTTTAGATAATGTATGTCTATAAACACAATATAATGTGACAGCTAGTCAGTCAGTCAAGATAATAGAATCGTATGTAAGATGTAACATAATGTTTCGACATTGAAAGCTTTAGGAATAAAATTCCGTGAGGTCGAATTGTATTTTTTGGCACTCATATTTAATGTAAGACTCTAATTAAGCGAGTTAAGCTTCTCATCGATTTAAAATTTGAGAATATTTTGAGGTCGTTTTCTCCCCCGATACCTCTAAACATTCACTTGACTGGATAAAACTTTATCTTAATGGAGGGGACCAACAAGTATACTAGTCTTTCGCCCCTCTACTCACATCATACAAATTGGTTTGTACGTTAGCAGCATCTTTATGATGTTCAACCAACGTTTCCTCTAGCTTCAACCTTCGCAAGCATAGTTCACTGTCTTTCGGTTCTTAAACGTGTATGCTTTTGCTTCGCCCGATAGATAGTGCACGCAACACGAAGCCCACGTGTCTATATTAATGAATGTGTCGATGTGCTCGCTGTTCGCAACTCGGAAGTTGTGGATTAAAATAACCGGATATCATTTCAGTCTCAACCATCTGAACCTTTGTTTTCACTTTGCCTCCGCATTTCATAACATCTAATGACTCGCGCACATGTTAAACTCTTTGGTTCATAGAATTTTTTCAAACTATTCCACCGAACATTTTTGTATAGATTTTTGCCTCGTAATTGTTTGGTATCTTCATATTGCTCTGATTATAAGCTTTTAGAAATCTCACTGGTTGTTGCTGATAGATATTTTAAGGTTCATAAATTAACTTTAACTATGCACCTATTACTCGGTATGTATAATAATATGACCTAGCTAAATATAATTTGTGATCTCTTATTTTTTAAATTAGGTTTTTGCACATTGAAATCGTCAATCAATCAATATCAGACCACCATTAGAAACCTGGAAGCACTGAAGGACGACCGTTTCATCCTGTTATGGGACTCATCAGCTGTGCGCATCCACAACTCCTCCACCTCGCTGGATTCGAACCCGGGACCCTCGGATTCATTTGAATGACGTTTTTTTTTATAAAAGTAAAATGATGATTAAACAATAACGTTCCATGAAAACTACTTACCAAGATAACGTAATAGTTTTTGAGCACGTTGTTTAGCCGGTGGTAAGTTAAACAACTCAGGATGTTCATCAATGAAAGTTGTATCAACAATACCAGATAGAAATTTTTCATGTTTTATTACATTCATAAGAAAAGGAATGTTTGTCTAATTTGGGGAAGTGAAAAAATAAACCGTGAAAAGAAATGATTTCAGCGGGAGAAATCATGTGGAGATCGATTAAGCGAAAGCTAATTTGCATCAAAGAACTATGACATCAGGTGAAGGGATATTAGGGCTCAAAACACCTAAGTGTACTGTGATCATTACGAAACTTGAAAATCCTCTGTTATATATAAGATTGCTGCTGTAATGCTTATTAATACCTTCTTGACCACCTACTATAGCCTCAAACTAATTCTATATGTCAAGCGGAACAATAGAGGGGAAGGCGAGAAATGTTAAGTTAGTCTACAAACATAAAGATGAGGACATTTAGAGGGTTCTAGGGCATCAAGGAATTTCTGGAACTGTGATAAATATAATAACAATCAATATAGGAGAACATTCAGTCAAAAAATGTTACACGTGATTCTTCACTTTCCAGATGTTTCTGGGAAGCTTCTTCTCTACACTAACTGTGAAAAAACATTTACTGGCGTTTTCTTGAGCCTCTAAGAAACTTTGACAGGGTGGTATATTTTGAAACTCTACACAATTATAGCTAGAATAAGATTATATGTTGATGACAATGAAACAGTTACACCCAACACTGACTCAGTGGTCAGTGATTCTCCAACTAACATCAGTTTTCGGACAAAGTTTGCTAAACTATAACAAAAAATTTGGAATTTGAAAAAGCAGTCAGCTACAACGTGAAACTTCGTACGTACGTACGTACGTACGTTATTTCAAGTTGCCATACCACATTAGCACAGAGATGAAATTGTCAATTCAAATCCCATAGTGGTAGAGACAGCAGAAGTATTAGCAGTAATGGAGAAGATTAGGGACAAAGAATGGATGTATCTACGTCACTACAAACGATTTTGAGCCATATTATTCAAAGTCCCTAACCATCAGTTACTATCGTCTCGCAGGTCCCAGCCAGGTAGTCTTCGCCCATTAGCATGACTCAGTACAGTTGTCAGTCACTTGATGGGTTTGTGCCATGTTTTGGTTTGACCGCCTGTAGCTTTCTTCCAGCTTACTCGTACATTAGTTGAAAAGGCGTTCACATAATGAACTTGAAAAGAATGAACGCGAAAATATTGAAGTTTCTGAAGTTCTTGTGAGTTGTAACTTGACACGAGTGGCATTGAATGATCATCGCACCCTATTGTAGGTTGGATGAAGCTGGAATCGTATCGGTGGAAGCTGACCGAATAGTTGTACTGATTAAGTATCCAAAAGCGTGTTCACTGCTGAGGAGCTAGCTACACAATAAGCTAAAACAGCAGTTCATTTCTCCTCAAATTTTTAATGGTGCTCTTTGACCGAGAACAATCTGTAACAAATACAACTTTCAAATACACTGAAGTTAGAAAATGTAAACCGCTAGAGTTTGCCTTGAAGCCTGAAAGTACCAGATCCAATCCCTGATGGCTTCTTGGATGAACATCGTCACATAATCTCATAAAAAAGACAAAACACTTGCCCAGTGTCATCTTGTTTTCAATAGTTCTATGATATAAATCTATAAAAAAAACCTACAATTAATTAATTAGATAATCAAGAACAGCTATATTTAGTAAATCATTAAAACTTTTTACATTAAATAACTATTCATCACTTACTTTAACACCATGTACACGAAATTCCGCTAATGAACGTAACATTTTTTTAGCAGCTAAACGAAAATCACCTGAACGTGCAATTATTTTCACTAATAATGAATCATAATATGGTGAAACAATGGCTCCAGAAAATGCTGAAGCTGAATCCACACGTATACCCATTCCTTCACCACTTTGAAATACCTAAGACAGAATGAAAAAAAGTTTTTTTTAAAAATACATTTATAATGGATTGGTTGATGGATGACACAAGGCATCATCATCATCATCAAGGTTAAGTTTATTAATAATTATTCATTTAGGCAATACAGTGTGATAATATGATTTTAATGAAACTCAACCCAGTCTTCACAACTCTATGAAATGTGCTCACTGGTGACTAGCTTCATGAGAAGCCGTGACGAATGGAGTTTGGCTATGTCGGGACAGACAGACAGATACAACGCAGAACTTCGTACATAAGCACATCAGTTCAGGTTGCCATACAACATCAGCACACTGACGTAACTGTCAGTTCAAATCAAAGAGTGATAGCGATAGTAGAAGAATTAACAGTAATGGAAAAGATTAAGGAGCAAAGATATGATTCGAGAAATACAATAACATACAATAATTCAGTGAGATAAATTTGGAAAGAGAAAGATAGAGATTACGAGGAATCCAGAATGTTAGAATTTCAGAGAACACAAAGAGTGGATGCACCTATACTATTGTAAACGATTCAAACCATGCCATTCAAGATCTCTAACCATTGGTGACTTTTGTCTCGCGGACCCCAACCAGGTAGCCTACATCTACCAACATCACTCAGTCCACTTGTCAGTCACTTCATGGATTGCTGCTATGTTTTGGTTTGGCCATCCATAGCTTTCTTCCAACCTACTCCTACACCACAAAACAGCTTGTCTCGGTAGTCGGTGGTTAGGCATTCGTATCACATGTCCCAACCTCCTCAACTGATGAAGTTTCAATGCTTCATCTATTGATTTGCCATCCTTACCCTGAACTCGCTTCCTAACAATAGCATTGCTACTATGTTGGGTGTAAGCAGTTACGTATAGAAGACGATTGGTGAGGTTGCACGACACTGTGGAATGATCAAAGCTAGACATTAACATAGATGAGTGCCGTCTAGAGGTTAAGCGTTCGGCCGAGAGACTGAAGGTTGTGAGTTCAGTTGTCAAGAGTGGCAGTTGTGGGTACACACTGCTGATGAGTCAGTCATATACTAGGACGGAACAGCCATCCAGTGCTTTCAGGTTTCTAATGGTGGTCTGACACTGAATGGTTCATGATTTCAATGAAACTTAACAATCTACATAACTCTATAATGACAATGATAATTATATATTCAGATAGAAATGAATAGAATAGTATTTTTCTGTATGATCAATATTTAAGATAGTATAATCAATCAACAAGTAAAATAAATTAAAACATATAATCTATAACACTCAAACGGCGTGACTAGTAAAAATCGTTCAACTTCATCTACTGACTTTATAACTAGTTTGAGAATTGTTCACTTAGTAGTAGTAGCTTTACTAAAATGAAAAAATACCGCCAAAATATTGATGCTTGAATAATTGAAATATACACAGATTCTTTTTATTACAAATATATTTCATAGTGGTAGAGTTAAACAGAGATGAATGATAGATGTTATCCACAAGTATGATGATATATATATATATATATATATATATATATATATATATATATATATATACGAAACGAGTTTTTCATGCTTGTATTAAGGATTTTGACATCTAGGCTGATTAGAATATGTTAAAATAACATGAATAACAAGTGCACTCTTAATACATTAAACTATCAATAGCATTGGTTTATATTTAGTACGCATGAAGTACATGCTTAATAATGTGGATATTTTTCATTGAATATATTCTCCTCCTCTGAACTCTTTGTTTAATGAATGAATGAACCAGTCAATCAATCAAATGATCTTAACCATTGTGATTGATACAATTTCAATTTCCTATTTGAAAAACTACATTTTAAAATGTTTATTTTGTATTTTGTACATCAAAATAAATGACGAATGGTTAATTTTTAATTATATTCATTGATTACTGAATATTTCGAATGATTTTAAAATTACTGAATTCATGAATCAATTATTGTTATACTAACGTTAGAAACCTGGAAGCACTGGATAGCCGTTTCTTCCCGGGATGAGACTCATCAGTAGCGTGTACCTACGACTCATGCACCCCGTAGGATCCCAACGCAGAGCTCTCGGTCCTGCGCGCGAATGCCTAACCTCTGGACCATTGGGCCGACGTTCAACAATGTTAATGTCTAACTCTGATCAATCTAGGGGTATCGCCTAACTTCATACACTTGTCTTCGGTAGTTACTGCCTACACCCGACAGGGTTGAACTCCAGTGGTCACATCTCACTAGAACTCCGAGAATTTCCCGTATAAAGCTAATCACTAGTGAGCACATTGTACGATTTTTCATTACAGAATTATGAAGATTATTTTTATTTTATCTGCTGGATAAATTAACAACATTATGAATATACAAACTGTACATAATTACTATACGCATAGATATATTTCATGAAGAGTATACTAGTATTAATTATATCACTATGAATAAGGGTTTGAACAATCGTAATACCTTATTCATTTAGCCATATATGCGTTAGAATTTTAAGTGAAAAGTACTCGATTCTCATTGCACTCTGAATACCAACATTGTGAGTACACGTAGCTGATGAGTTCCATGCAGAATGACATGCGTGTTTTGTGCTTGTTTATTCTTTTTTGTCGTTAATTTTGGGATAATTCAAGTTATTGCAGATTTTTACGATGAACACAATAACATTGAAACTTAAAATTTTATATCATCGATTATTATTATTATTATTTATTCATAAAAATTACAATAGTTTTATCGAAATGTCCACTAATAGGTTAAAAATCACATGTTGTATTGATTGGTTTACATTAATCATGAAAAGTTAACACATGCACACACACATATATATATATACAAAAATTATATGTACACTAACTAGGATGATTGGAAATAATTCCTAGATATAAAAGTTTGCTTTTGTGATTTATTCTAGTACTACTATATAATATTGGGTTCTTGATCCTTTTCACTACTGATTTGAATAGAGAGAAAAATATGCAAGAACAAATAAAATGAAAGCACAAACAATTGTGTTTCACAACTGTTTTTTTTTAGTATAAAACAGGAGTTTAAGCGCGCTGGGTGTGCGGAAGTTACTCACTGAAGGAGTTCATCTTAATGGTCTGGAAATGAAGCATTCGCACATGAGATCGAAGGTTATGTGTTTGATCTCCTGTTATGAGGGTCTTGAATGATCAATGCTAACGAATTTCCCAACAAGGGGGAAACAAATGGTTACCAGTTTTCTATGATTGTCTAACTAAGGCTAATCTATGATGTACACTATGAAGCAAGATTTACTGTCCGTACGATAGAATTACATAAACTTTTAAGCATATCAGGGCATCAAGAGCCGTTAGAGTTATCGTTTATTTAAGAAATGTGCCGATGACATAGTTCTATTCGGTGAAGAAGCTGACAAAATGCAGAGTCTTTTGACCACCCTAAGCAACAATGCAAGTTTGTTCGGGATGCGGTTCTCACCCTCGAAGTGCAAAATGTTGCTTCAAGATTGGCTTGCGAATACACCTGAACTAGTGATCGGAAGTGAAGTAGCCGAACGTGTAGACCGCTTCATTTATCTCGACAGTCTCATCAGTGCTGGTGGCCTGGTGACTGACGAAATCTCAGCATGGATACAGAAGGCTCGTTTGGCTTTTGCCAACCTGCTTCGCCTAAGGTGCAGGCGAGATATCCGATTTCTAACCAAAAGACGAGTGTACCGTGCATCAGTTCGCTCCGTCCTATAATACGGATGTGAAACATGACCGTTAAGAGTGAACGACATTCGTAGGTTACTAGTCTTCGATCATAGGTGTCTCCGAAGCATTACTCGTGTATCCTGGGACGACCGTATAAGCAATGCTGTCGTCAGTAAACGAGTCCTAGGTAAGGATGGTAAATCAATAGGTGAAGCATTGAAACTTCGTCAATTGAAGCGGTTGGGGAATGTGCTACGTATACCTAACCAACGACTGCCGCGATGAGCTGTGTTCTGAGGTTTAGGAGTAGGTTGGAAGAAAGTTAGGGGCGGCCAAACCAAAATATGACACAAATCCATGAAGTCATTGACAAATGGACTGAGTCATGTTGGTAGAGGTAGGCTTTCTGGTTGTGGTCCGCGACATGAAAGTCACCAATGGTTAGAGACCTTGAACGACATGGCTCAGAGTCGTTTGCGATAGCGCAGGTGCATCCACTGTTTGTCTTATCTGAAATTCTAACCTTCTGATTTCCTCGTAATCTCTATCTTTCTCCTTCTAAATTTATCCCACTGAATTATACTTCTCGAATCATATTTTCGCTTCCTAATCTTCTCCATTACTGCGTCTGTGTGCTGATGTGGTATGGCAACCTGAACTGATGTACTTACGTACGAAGTTCTGTATTTCACTGATTTAAAACATTTCTTTCACAACTCGTCACAATACTTACTTCAATACGTCCTGAATCAGGTTGAAATTGTTTCGTTGGATCTTCAGTAGTTATACGACATTGTATTGCAAAACAATGTGGTTTAATTTTATCTTGAGTTAAATCAAGATCGCTTAATGAACGACCTTCAGCTAGACGAATTTGTGATCGAACAATATCTACACTACAATTGAAAAAAATAACAATTGAAGAGATAAAAAAAATAGAATACAGTCTTAAATAAATGTGATAACTAAAAACACTCTATACGATAATATATGATCAGTTTAAATCATGTCCAGTAAATTACTTCAGATACAATTAATTGACCTTTTATAAATATGGTCAGTAGTCTAAGTGATTTGACATTATGTGTGGTGTTTTTAAGTCTGGTGGTCGGAGGTCGGAGATAGAAAACTCGGACTGTCGATTTTTATGCTAATCGGTACTCTTTAACAAGATTAAATTAACAATCTTGAAGAAAGTGATGAATCCTATGGGGTTGCCATTATTAACCTCCTTATTTAAACTGATTAATTACTGAGCTATAATTTAAAATATGTTTGTCTTATCCTTTAGTGGTGTTATAATTCTCTCTTTATTACATACAACCCAGCTATTCCTAATGCCTTAGTATTCCCGGACACTATGTCACTCAACACGTCCTGCCAAAAGCAGAACACGATTGAACAGGAAATAGAGATTATATTCCAACAACAAGGTTAGAAAGAAGACAGAGGGTCCAAAAGAAAAAGATGTGAGTATATTTATAGTTTTCTTACACGAAACGATTCTAGAATGTTCCTTCAGTATCGACTAGCGCTGATTGGATACAAAAGAGCCAATCAGCGTGCAGTAACGCGTTCATGCTTTCATCCAATCTAAGTCCCACTAATAAGTGGCGATTGAATTCTAACGACAAAGTTACCAAAAAAAGCAAATAAACCATTGAAATCTAACAACAATCTTTTGCTAGATTCGCAATAATTAAATCAAATCATTCTTGCTAATTGTACTAAACTGAATGAATTGTTAGAATTGTTTATTTTTATAATTCCAATGGTCATTTCCATTATTCATTGATCTCAGTCAGTGATATCGATAGTTCATAATCGGTGTATTGATTAATTGTTTCGTACTGTGTATATTACTATTATTATTATTATTATACGCTAAGCAATTCATGATTTGAGTTAATCGTTGATAAAAAATTTTCTCTCTCTATGGTTACTTCGTATTACTGCAACTCACATTGTAATGTTCAAAAAATTGAGATAATATGAGTAACTGAAAACTTTTTTTATTTTAATTATTAATTTTTTAAAGAAAAACATTTTTACAATTATTAAAACGAATGAAAATTATATATATATTTTTAAATAAATTATATTTTGTAGGTTTTATTCATAATGTATTGATATTTCAATTGTGGGAGCATTGGATAACTGTTACGTGTGTTGGTGTATCCACGATTTCGTTATTGATTGATCAAATACAAAACTTTTGGGTTTCAATGTGAATGCCTAACACATCAAAACTATTGAAGCGGTGTTCATTGGTACAGTTTCAACTTTATTTAAATTGTGATAAGGCATTACGTCTATGTGATGTAATTCGTGGTAATTGAGTGAAGTCGACCAATCACAAACTCTTATTAACATTTCAGGAATATACTGAAATATGTTACAAGTGAGGTGACTATTATAATTTAATTGAGAGGACTGCTGCAGTTATTACTGCCTCTATTAATCTGGGATTTGGAATGACAATTTTATTTCACCAGGGTAGTTGTGAACAACAAGTTGAACTGATGTACATACTTGCCTGGTTATAATAATTGACTGACTGAGTGATTGTACCTTACGACATTTTTGCGGTTGAGTTTGGATATACGCCAGCTGGAGAGATCAATCATATTTGTTGTCGACTCGTTTGAAGTTAGTTCAAATCTATTACTAATCATAACAGTTCATTTGGTCAAATGATACACTGCTGAACGAGAAGTAGAAAGTTAACGTGAATGTACGTTTGAACATGGAATGAAACTGATCAGAAACCTTACTCTAAATTGGAACTCCTTAGAGAAATGTACCGTCTTGTTGGGAACGTTAGATCCCCAGAATTCACATGGAAAATGTCCTAATTTTAGGTTTTTGTTATTTCGCACATGGGCTGATAAGTTGAACCTGAGATTAAATTTCCCACCAGGAAATCCTTGACTGTTATTGGTTGATGTATTATTTTAGTACGCTATTCTTGTAACTCTCCCAAGGATGTTTCTATCATGTATAAACTCGATTTGTGTGCTCGTCGACCTCAAATCTTCTGGATGTTTGTAGAATACACTTTCTACATCTTATCAAGAATTCTTGCTATGGTTAGCAGGGCCTGGGGAATAACGGATTAGAATAGACTATCGTGTCACTGGATCATTTGTCTTCACTCTCGTTTGCCGACTAAGGTGAACTTGTCATAGCATTCAAGCATATCAATTGACCAGTATATCTGATCTAAAATGGATCAGATCTGTAGCTTGAAGATCTATCCCTAAAAAATAGATACTATTAAATTGGGCGGAAAAAAAAACAGAATATAACAACAAACCACAGTTTTAAATGATTCTCATAAATATATCATTATTCCTTATGGACTTGTTATCTGTTACGCACGTCTCTTGATATGCTTAAAACTATTACGAGTTTACCTGAGTCGAATAACGAGAGCAAAACAATAAACCAGCGTCCAGGTAGGCTACTGTGATCCCTTGACCAAATTGTGTCAGCGAGAAGTCTTGATATAGTGTAGAAATTGTATTCTACAAACCCCAGATAGCACATAGTGAATCCAAGCACTCAAATTGTGTTTATTTATACTCTATAGAGACGTCCTTGGGACAGTCACAAAAATAGCACACTAAAATGACACAGTAACCAATCACAGCCAAGGATTTTCCTGGTGGGAAATGTAATCTCAAGGTCAACTGATCGGTCCCCGAAATAAATTCAAAATAAAGATATTTATCAAGCGAGTTCTGAGGATCTAAAATCCGCAACATTATCTTGAAATCAATTTAACATAACAATAATAATAATAATACTAACAACAGATGATGAAAATGACAAAAAAAGAACTATGAGACATTATAGTCTTATTAATCTTTTTTTTAAACTAACCCCGTAATTTCTTCAGTAACAGTATGTTCAACTTGAAGACGAGCATTGACTTCAATGAAATAATATTGTCCATTTGTTTGATCATATAGAAATTCTACAGTACCAGCATTTTCATAACTAAAAAATTAAAGAACAAAATAATAATAATAATAATACTCAGAGAAAAAAAAATAAAAGGATATCAACAGTCATTTAGACGACATTCAATGGATAGAATATTTAATAGCTTATCATTAAATAAAGCTTGTAATTTAGGATTCCAAGTAATGAGTTGTGTGATCAGTCAGTCAGTCAGTCAGTTGCAACGTAGAGCAGAACTTCGTACGTATGTATATAAGTTCAAGTTGCTACACCGCATTAACACAGAGACGCAAATGTCAAATCAAATTCCCATAGTGATAAAGATAGTAGAGGTATTAATGGTAATGAAGAAGACTACGGTTCGAAAATATTATTCAAGAAGTATAATTCAGTGAGATAAGGTTAGAAAGACAAAGGTAGATGTGCTGACGAATCCAGAAGATTAGGATTTGAGAGAGCTCAAAGAATGAATGCACTTGCGCCATTGCAAACGATTTTGAGCCATGTCGTTCAAGGTCTCTAACCATTGGTGACTTTCGTCTCGCAGACCCCAGTCAGGTAGCCTACATCTACCAACATGACTCAGTCCACTTGTCAGTGACTTCATGGATTTATGCTGTGTTTTGGTTTGGCCGCCTCTAGCTTTCTTCCAACCTGCACCTACACCACAAAACATAGCTCGTCGGGTAGCCAGTAGTTAGTCATTCGTAACACATGTCCCAACCACCTCAACTGATGAAGTTTCACTACTTCATCTATTGATCTACCATCCTTAGTTAGTACTCGTTTCCTAACTATAGCATTGCTTACTCGGTTGTCCCACGATTTACGAGCAATGCTTCTAAGACATTTATGATTGAAAATCAGTAACCTACGAACATCTTCTACTCTCACTGGCCATGTTTCACAGCCATAAAGTAAGACGGAGAGAACTACTGCATAGCACACTCGTCCTTTAGTCAGCAAACGGATATCTTGCCTACGCCATAGGTGACGAAGGCTGGCAAAAGCCAATCGAGCCTTCTGTATCCGAGCTGAGATTTCGTCAGTCACCAGGCCATCAGCACTGATGAGACTTCCGAGATAAGTGAAGCGATCAACACACTCGACTACTTCACTCCCTATCACTAGTGTGTTGTGTGATATACAGAACCAATCAGAGGTAAATAAACAAAATCACTTAATTTTTCCTAAAGTCCAAACGTATGTATAATAACCGATCAAGAAATAAATTGATTTTTCTAAGGAAAAGAAATGTATGTATATAAATGAATGTTTAAATGCATATTATTCGGTAGTCAAATAGACACTCTCTTCGACTTTTGCTTTCTAGCTCAAGCAGTCAGTTTAACGGGTTAGAATGTATCACATTCTGACATGACGGACGCCATCTATCATAACACATCGAAACATAAATAATAATTTCTATACATATACCATAGTGATATGGACTGGTGAATAAGCATCCATTATGATGTGAGTTGTTCAAGTTCAATACGAATACACAAACTTCCTATACGCTAGCCGAAATTAGCTACTTGAGTGAGAACGCCAAAGCTGAGAAGGAAGCTTTACTGATTAAGACCAACTCGAAAATATACGGACACTCATTCACAGGTATACATCTGTCTCTCGTAGAAAATAAAGTCACATTTCAACTAATAGGGGGTTTCGCTTTCCTTAGAAAACGAAGCCAAATTGCGACCAACGGTTTGTGTTTATTTTTAGGCCTACATCTAATAGGTTCAGCGTATCAACAATGTTATTATTTCCCTCTTTAAGCTACTTAGTGACATGTTATCTTAAGTATGGATATTGGTTATAATTTTAATCTGGAAAGATCCTGATTCTGATTGTCAATAGAGGGTAGATAAGCTTCTCTGTGAAGGAGCCCCATACTGAGATGAAGGAGGATCATATTGTAAACCATACTGACTGATTATGTACAGATATCAAAAAGACTTCATTGCAACTTCTGTTCCTTGATGTATAATCACGCGTCTAATCATCAAATATGCGTACGAGATGCTTAGATGACTTAATGAGCTTAATATTATTACTGTTTCAGTGTATATGGTTTAAGTCAATCAGTTCGAAGCCTGTTTAACAATTAATGATATTTATATATTGGTACTTTGAGCTAATAAAATATTGGCTAAATGATAAATGCACATAATTTAGTCAAGAAAAAGTTGTCGCTTCCAAAGAATGAAACAATAACGGTTCAATTTTCTAATGGACATATCAATGACCGATAACATTTTTGATCATATGATTTTTTAAAATGTAAAGTGCATAAACACTGACCATTCAATCAAGAACGAATTGACCTCACTGAATCCAACCAATCATATTGTACATAATAAGGATTTACAACCAATCAAATAGTTCTTTCAATGAGTGAAAAATATTCATCTGGAGCTCTTATTTTGATAACAATTTAATCAAACAGTATTTCTCCAATATCAATCATTATTCTTTTAAGACTTATCAGTAAGGGATGGGTAGGATTTAACCTCGGTGGTTTCATTACTAATAGAAAGTTAGAAGTTCATCCTGAGACAAAGTGTTCAATTCCTGGTGGGGTATCGATATCCTACAACTGAAGAATTCGATACTGGTACGATACAGTTGTCCAACGCTGCCATATTTCTAATGGTTATCTAAATAATGGTAATCTGTGGTGTGAAATTTCCAAATTTAACGATTTCCGTAACCCTATCTATATTAAAAATAATTTTCATTAACAAAAGTATAAGCCTGATAAGAAAAAATAACACTATGTTAAAAATACAAATACATAAATCTATATTATACAATATCCTCAATCAGGTCACTACTAACTAGTCAATTATTATATACGGAAAGTTGTCACAATCGGGGTCAGTCACATTGTTTCTTTGTTGTAAATGAAGCTATGTTAGATAAAAAAGTTTTTTAAAAAATCAATTTATGGACAAAGTGAACTTATTGATCTTATTACAGGTGGTATGTGTATGACTCGACTGTGAATCATACACAGCTTATTCATTTAAATGTCAACGATATGTAATCAGGCTGCTTGAATGGGGAAGTAAATAGAGTGAGCGTTAAACAAGCATCCAAACTCGTTGAAAGTTAAATGTTTGACAATCAAATTACATTGAAATAATGAATCAATGATTGTTAGACCACCGCAGGAAAGTTGGAAGTGTTGGACGGCCGTTATGTCCACGATCCTTACCCGCGAGAATCGGAATCTTTGGTCTCTCGTGAGAACGCCTAACCTGTAGACGACTGAGCCGACACCCAACGGTGTTAACGTTTAACTTTAATCAATCCCTGATATTGCCCAGCCTTACCCATTGTCTTCAGCTGGTAACTGCCTACACCGGACAGGGTTGAACTCCACTGATTATTGCTTTTCACTAAAATGTTGACAATTCCTTCACGAAGCTGGGTTCGATTCCAGCGAGCGGAGGTCGTAGATGCGCACTGGTGATGAGTCCCATACTAGGGCATAACGGCCGGCCTAGTGCTCCCAGGTTCTTAATGGTGGTCTAGCAATGATTGATACATTATTTCAATGAAACTCAACAATCTCTATAACTCGATAATTAAAATCGAATTGCAGTTTAATAGTTGTAGTTTTAAAAAACATTTTCAACTATACTACACATGAAAAATATAATCCCATTTTTGAACATACTTAACAGAAGATGCTAATCGTACCGCATCGTTTAATAATGATTTACGAATAGTCGGATCTAGGTTCGGGGCTGGTGCTATTTCCACTAACTTCTGGTGTCTGCGCTGGACAGAACAATCTCTTTCATACAAATGTACAACATTTCCATATTTATCACCTAAAATTAAATAACATTTTTAACAACAAATATTATCTTTAATTTATTTGTACTGTATAGACATGGCTAACTAACTTACTTTATAATTGTTCAGTTTCACACGTTACTACTGTTACTTATTGTAACTCTTAGGAGCATTCGATTTATATGAAAGTTCAGTGGTTTGTTGCAGTTGTTTTTTTATGCAATTGGAAAAAATGATAGTTCTCACTGTGAATTGAAATCACTAAAAGTTTAGTCCATAAGTTAGCAGCAGTGAATACCACTGAACCTCACATGGGATCGAACTTGGAACTTCATAATAACTCAATAACATTCACCATTGACGTACGTACGTACGTCAGTTCTGATTGCCATACCGTATCAGCACAGACGCCAATGTCAGTTCAAATCCCATAGTGGTGGAGATAGTAGAAGAATAACTGGTAATGGAGAATATTAGGGATCGAAGATATTATTCAAGAAGTATGGTTCAGTGAGATAACTTTAGAAAGAGAAAGATAGAGATGATGAGGAATTCTGAAGATTAGAATTTGAGAGAATACAAAGAGTGGATGCACCTGCGCCATTGCAAACGATTTTGAGCCATGTTGTTCAAGATCTCTAACCATCGGTGACTTTTATCTAACGGGTCCCAACCAGGTAGCCTATATCACGTTAGGGTAACAACTACAGTTACGATGCAGTTGTTCTGTTCACCTTGTGGTGAGTGTACAAATATGTCGAGCCCACAGAGCTTGTCCCAGCCTTTGGAAAAATTAGTTAATCCATTCTTCTCGGGTTATTCATACGTCTTTAGAGCTTTTCGATCATTCGCTCATAACCTTCATTGTTCATACTTGAGTGGATATGTGCATTGGTTACTTAGCTTGCCACATGTCTAGCTTATTTTTGTCTGACTATAAATACCTAGTTATGTCTCATCACGTTGAGTTGGCTCATTCACCTTCTTGATCTTGCTTCGCTCTGCTTTGCTTTTAAGCTTTTTATTCTTATGTCTGTCTGCATGAACGATTGCTTGAAATAAACTCGTGCAACCGAATCCATATTTGGCTTCTTATAACCGTCGTTGCATAAACGGGGTTCGGCTAAGTAAGATCTACGGAAATTCAAGGGAAGATTTATTTCACAGAATATTCAGAATCAGATTCCAGACTACTAAAATATTAAGGTAACTTAACTGTGTATGCATAAGTAACTTACTTTTGGCTTTCAGTATGCACAGTTGAGTCATTCTTAAAAGGCAATATACATCGATGAGTCAGTCAGTTAGTTGCAACGTAGGACTTCGTACGTATGTACATAAGTTCATGTTGCCATACCACATTAGCACAGAGATACAACTGTCAGTTCAAATCTCATAGTGATAGAGATAGTAGAGGAATTAATGGTAATGAAGAAGACTAGGGTTTGAAGATATTATTTAAGAAGTATAATTCAGTGAGATAAGGTTAAAAAGACAAAGGAGGAGGTGCTGACGAATCCAGAAGATTAGGATTTGAAAGAGCACAACGAATAGATGCACTTGCGCCATTGCAAACGATTTTGAGCCATGTCATTCAAGGTCTGTAACCATTGTTGACTTTCGTCTCGCGGATTCCAATCAGGTAGCCTACATCTACCAACATGACTCAGTTCACTTGTCAGTGACTTCATTGATTTATGCCATGTTTTGGTTTGGCCGCCCCTAACTTTCTTCCAACCTACTCCTACACCACAAAACATAGCTCGTCGAGACCCAATTGGTCAAAATCAAATCATACATCGATGAAAACAACAATAACAACACTGTCAAAGAGAAATAATTCCTTATACAAGCATAAACTGACCCAGAATTTGAACTTCAATATGTCTTGGTCGTTCAATAAATTTCTCAATAAACATTGCACCATTTCCAAAAGCTGCTAATGCTTCTGATGAAGCCAAGTCAAAATTTTGTTTAATATCCTACAACAACAACAATAAACGAAACAAGCATAACAGAATACAATAAAGTTGAAATTAAAAAAAGATATACTAACGAAATTTTTGTTACAGTAAGAAATCCTCAAGATGAGTTAAGTAATATTGCAATAAACTTCTTTCTAACATACATTCGAATGGTAATTATTTAAAAATATCTTTTTTTTAAAGTTAAAATATTTTACTTATCTTTGAAGACAAAGGTTTTGTACCAATTTAGTTGGTACATCTACTTATATGAGATGAATGAATCCCTATAATATATATATACTACTTACTACTACTACTTACTTACTGCTTACTACTACTGTTATCCCAAAGCAGTGTAAGCCGCCGACCACTATTCTCCCTTTCTAGTTCAAACAACTTCCTGTTGTTTACCTTTTAAGCAGAGGCATATAAATATATATGTAACTCCGCCTAGGGTCCCCTGGGGCTACTGCCGGTTCCGAGCCCGGATGAAGGAGGAGGGATGGGGGCATGGGGTTGGCGAGCCTATCAGGTAGAAAACCAACTCGCTAAAAAAACACGCCACCTAGAAAACACATATATGTATGCCTCTGCTCAAAAAATAGACAAGAAGTGGAATATGCCGACAACTACAATGTTTTTGGTGTGAGATCTTCTGTATTTAGTATTCCGATAATTTATAAAACAATGATGATAGCTAATAAAGAATATTTCTAGCTTGTGATGAAGATATTCAATATGTTGTGTCTACTAAAATCGAATGGTTTACTTTTGAAGCTTTTATTGTTCTTTTAGACAACACTGTCAGAATATATATTTCAAACAAAAGAAATTCAAGATAGCAAATCGTTGTTTAATTCAATATCAGTCAGACAAGGTTGCTTGCTCTTACACTTCCCCTTTCTCTTGATAGTTGACTTCATTATGAAGACGTCAACATCTAGGAGGAAGTAAGGGATACAGTAGACAACCAGGATACAGCTAGACGATTTGGACTCGGCAACAAATACAGATGAAGACGGCCAGTGTAGCAACAGAACCGATGATGAAAATTTTATATGTCAGAAGTTAAACCTCCAACAAAAGTTACAATCTTATATACAGCACTCATCCACTTTTAACGAAGAGAAAATAACCCGGAAAATGTTTGGCACAGAAATTAATAAACATTGAAAAGCAAATTGATAACCTTACACATGTGACTGTCCTTCATCTATACGGATGATACTAAATTTTCAATTGTGGAATAATAAGGTCAAACAACATTAAAACACGTGCTCTCTTTCTGGCTTAGTAGATGATGAATATCAATTCCTACAAAACCAAGTATGCTTCATATGAATTTGACTATCAAGTTGTTAACTCGGCAGAATACATTACACTGTGTCAATAGATCCCAGTTTTTAATAGAACACAATCCTAAATGTTGCATAGTCTAGCCAGGCTCAACTCGAAGCGCGTTTTGTTCATTTTCAATCAAATTAGAGTTGGCGAACGAATCGAGAAAATAAGGGAAGGTTCTTACGTAGATTTTGAATAAGTTGTGATTACTTTATTGCTGTATTTGTATTTTGAGTTTATTGGAATAAAATATTGTTCACTTTCAAATCTTATAATGATTTGAGAAGAGTCTGACAAAGCATAACTTCCGATTCACCATTTCCCATCCCAGTATCAACAGGTCCCATGAGTATAACAAAGGACACAACAATTGGCGTGTATATTTATATATATATAAGGACATACCTCAAGTCTTCGAACCACACGCATCCCACGACCACCTCCACCATAAGCTGCTTTGAGTATAACTGGTAATCCATATTGTTTACAAAATTCCATAGCTTCTTCAGAAGAAGTAATTGGTCCAGGACTTCCAGGAACAACCTTAATAGAATTTTATTATGAAGTCAATTAAAAAACAGTTGAATTTTGAAAATCTTTGTTGAAATAGATTACAAAATAAATAATAGCAGAATAAAATAGCCTACATCCGACTATCAATGTTAGTTTCTTCCTTGTTCTCTAGTATTTAGAAGATAATTACATATGGTATTTTAAGTCTGTTATAAGTTTGATTGATAACAAGTAAAGATTGGAAGTTCGAATTTCCTTCAACAGGTAAGCTTTTTGCATCTATCTGTTTCGATCCTCGAATCTGTAAATATTGATTAATAAGATGAACTCAAAGTAATGTAAACACTTGTATGACAAGATGAAACGAACAGTTATATATAAAGAATAATCTAAAAACAATTATTTGTAACATTCTTGATCAATACTTCGAGTCATTGACTTCATAGGTTAGAACTAAAACATAGAATGTGCTGGCTTCTAGAATTTTCTCAAAATTGACAGAAACATGCAGTGACTCATCATTAGTAGTAGTACGAAGTGTATCACATCACTTATTCTGTGGTCTTAACAACATTCACTGGTAATATTTAAATCAGATTGGTTCAATGACAGTAATATGAAATGCATACTGTAGCCTAAGGTTTATTCTTAATTTTTTCAGCAACTGTAAGTTTTCATGTCTGGTATGTCTGGTAGCGGTCCTGGGTTCGATTCCCGGATGCGGGTCGAGGACATGTACTATTGAAGAGTAGCATACCAGTTTAAGTTCAAATAGCATTTGATTATTATTTTTGATAGATTAATGTTAATAGGATCTTCTAATTATTCCTTATCTATCGGTTAAAATTATTGAACTTAATGAGTAACAGTAGTAACCAATGACTAAGTAAATCACTGATAAGGGTATTTATCATTCCTAACTCCACCTGAAGCTCTTCTACGGTTATTGCCGATCCCAAGCTCGGCTAAAGGAGGAGGGTGGGGTATGATGTGGTTAGCAACACTATACCGTAGAAATTCAACTCACTAAAAAAAAACGCTCATCGGAAAAATAATTCGCTGGTCAGAGGCCTATGCTCTATTAAGGGCAACAAGGATATTCATTAAATATCCTAAGAGAATTATTTTTGTATTTCTAATTCTATCGGTCGATTCCCACTGGTCAGTATTATGGTCACCCTAGCTATGAATGTGACGTACTCCAATGTTGTTTCCTATTCGACCTAAATGTATAAATTATCTGTAACGTTTTATGACCTGGACCCGGATCCCTAGTCCTGGATCCTGATTCTCTTCTGGACTCGAACCTCGTACTTTCTGGATGCTTGTACAATATACATGTTCTACTTCATATCAAGTCTTCTTCTTCTATTTAATGGGAGTTTGGAACAATAGGATTAGAATAGCCCGTCGTGTCACCGGATCCTCGCTCTCGTTTTCCGACTAAGATAAACTCGTAACAGTCCAAGCATATCAAATCGATATGTTTACGTTCATGCGTAACATATAAGTAAAGTAAAAAGTAAAAATTATCTTTCCTGATGCTCTTTGTTATCTTTATTTACTTTGATCATTTTAATCATACGTTAAAGTTGTGCCAAAAAATGGAACTGTCATTCAATTCTTAATGAGTTTTATTAAATGTATTCCCCCGGTTGTTTTTTTTCGTGCTAACTACTTTGTCAAACATGTACAGAAAGAAACTGAAAACTTTATGATTAAACTATCCAATTTGAAGAATTCAATTCCAATCTAATATACAATAAACTGCTAGCAGAACAAGTTACAGGTCAAACGTGGAGAAATTCGAATGCTTCACTTCTATTTGAAGTTTGTGCGGATGATGTTGTTCAGTAGAAGAACAATGAATGCTCCACAACCAAAACAACCAGCTCAGAGAACGAAACACCACCACAATCATCCACCTGAGCTGCAAGTTTTCTCCATCATACAATAAACTTTCATGTAAACTCCTGTACATAAATAAACTGGTTTTTTGACTCTGTATCGATAAACATAGTTTACAGTAAACAATGAATCATCATCATGTCATATAGAACATTCACATATATATATCTAATTTTCTTACTGAAACATTTGCATTAATAGCAGCTTGTCGAGCTTCAACTTTATCACCCATACGTTTGACAACTTTAGCTGATGGTCCAATAAATATAATGCCAGCATCAGTACAAGCTTGTGCAAATTCAGATCGTTCACTAAGAAATCCATAACCAGGATGTATAGCTTCGACATTATGTTTCTATGATACATAAAACAGGCGTGCGCGCACACAGAGAGAGAGAGAGAAAACAACAATAAGGAAACTGTGAATCATGTTTTTAACAACAACGGTAAACAAAAAGCAAACAACCTTGGAAGATAATTATTATGTAGAATATAGCGAAGAAAAGAAAGTAAGTAAACAGTACGTGCACGCACACACAAACATATATATATATATATTGTTACCTGGACTGATAAATTAGTGAAATGAACAGAAAGAAAAAGATAAACACAAATTCTATTCGTCAGTAGTTATACATGAGATATTAACGACCTAATTGATATGAATACAGAACATGTTTTAAAATAGTAAGTAATCTTTCGATTAATATGTGACTTAACAAACACGTAATGAAGCTATTAATTATAGCTAACATGTAATAGTTAAGACAATATTTTGATACTGCTTCGTACAAACTTTATTCAATGAAATGATATTTCAGTTGTAGAAATAGTGCTTTGTAATTGTATATCTTACAACTTGAACTTTATACACTTACAGGTGATGAAGTCATATAATCACTGATATCTACAAGATTTCTGCGATTAAAATTAACAAATATATAAATAGAGGGGATTAAAAACAATTTATGCACAAGTCTAGAGGATGATAATTTATAGGTGTAGGAACACGAGTCAAGAGTCGAGTCCAGATGGAAGCACAGATAGTTGACGAGATATGTACACCTAGTCTCCAAACATTCATTTGTATTTTATTGTGTGCTCTGCAATTCGAGCTAGTTATAGTCTGTCTTCCCTTTTGGTCTGCACAGTATTCAGAGCATGTCATGATCTTCACTTACAGAAACTTGTATTTGGCCGCCAGGTAATACTCCATTGCATACTACTCATATATATAATCTTGTGCGTAGCATCCACTATAATAGTGATATAGTGAGATTATCCGTTTGAATATAAGCACTAACATTTGGGAACACTCAGCAGATGACTACAAAACAAACGTCTTGCATATTACATCAATCTACAATCCGAATATACCGAAAATTTGTGACAAATTTATTTGATCAAGATATGACAACGAATACTGATCAAGTGTAGTGCAGAATTTTAAAGATGGAAAAATACAAATTGTTATCGATTTCATATACTACGTTAATTTAACAATAATCTATAGTTAAAAAATAAAACTTCTAAAAATTAATTATCGATAAATGAGTGGGTCAGTTAGTCAATCAGTTGGCTACAACGTAGAGCTTCATTCGTACGTACATCAGTTCAATAGCCACACCACACTAGCACACAGAGAGATCGAGTTGTCAATTCAAATCCCATATTAATAGAGGTAGTAGAAGTACTCGCGGTAATCGAAAAGATTGAGGTTTGAAGATGTTATTCGGGGAGTATAATCTAGTGAAATAAATTTAAGACGAGAAAGACGAAGATCATGAGGAATTCAAAATACCAGAATTGAGAGAAGACAAAGAATGGATGCATCTGCACATTGCAAACGATTTTGAACCATGTCATTCAGTCTCTAACCGTTGGCTACTAATGTCTCGCGGATTCCAACCAGATAGTTTACACCTACTAGGATGGCTTAGTTCACTTGTCAGTGACTTAATAGATTTCTGCAACGTTTTGGACTGGCCACCACTAGCTTTCTTCCAACCTACCCATGCACCAGAAAACATCGCTCGTCAAGGCAGTCGGTGGTTGGGCATACGTAAAACATGTCCCAACCACCTCAACTGATGAGGTTCAAAACTTCATCTATTGATCTGCAATCTTTATCTACTGCTCGTTTACTAACAACAGCATTGCTGACTCAGTTTCCCCAGGGTATACGAGCAATGCTTCGAAGACTCATAATCAAATACTAATAGTCTACGAGTATTCTTTACACTTACTGGCCATATTTCATAGCCATAAAGTGGGATGGAACGAACTGCTGCGCAGTAGACTCGTCCTTTGGTTAGCAAAAGGATATCTCTCCTATGCTATAAGTGACGCCAGTTGGCAAAAGCCAATCGAGCTTTCTGTATCCATGCTATGATTTCGTCAGTCACCGGGCCATCAGCACTGATGAAACTCCCAAGATAATTGGAACCGCCAACATGCCCAACTACTTCACTTCTTATCACTAGTTCAGATACCGATGCAACCCAATCGTGAAGCAACATTCTCGTTTCGAGGGGGGAAATCGCATCCCGGACATGCTTGTATTGTTGCTTAGGGTGGTCAGAAAACTCTGCATTTTGTCAGCGTCTTCACCAAGTAGGACTATGTCATCGGCATATATTCCTGTTAGAAGGTCAACTCTAAAAGCGTGTCAAAGTTGAAGAGTAATCGGGAAAATGGACAACCCTAAGGGGACACCATTTGAGTTAATCAACTCCGATCACAGTTAGTCATAAGCTCTAACTCGACCAGTAGTGTTCGAGTAGAGAGCCTGTTCAAGGTCAATGTACTTCTTTGCTATTCCTTTAGACAACAGAAACTGCCATTGAACCTTAGTCTTTTCAGCCTCGTTGAGAGTTGGAGGACTTACATCAACGCGTCATCCAGGTTGACTGAAGATCGTGAGTAACCGAAGTGTGGTTGAAGGCCAGTTTAACTGCTTCCTAAAATGTTCAGTCCATCGATCCAACCTCCTGGATTGAGAATGAGTAATAGACCCATATTTTTCCGAGATAGTTTCGCTAACAGTAGGATTCCTAATTCCAGTTTCTTTGATAATTCTGAACAATTGTCTACTGTTACCTATCACCGCCCATTTCCATCTCTTTTGTTTTGACTACCGACCACTGTTCGCAATCATTGCTTAGGCTTTTTTATCATCCTTTTGTTTGATGATATAGTTTTTAATTTTAGATCATTCCTAGGCTTGCGCTGATAACGCAACCACACTGTATCAATGTTTATTCATCAGTCAACATTCCTTCCTAACTTCTCAATACTTGGAAATTCCCACTAAATCATGAAATCTTATTTAGATTATTGAAAAAAAAAAAAATGAAAATTGAAATAAACTGAATAGTTGTTGAACATACTAGAGCAAGTTGTATAATTTCAGGAATATTAAGATAAGCAGCTACCGGTGGTAAACTTTTACCAATTAAATATGATTCATCAGCTTTTTGACGATGCATTTGCATTTTATCTTGTTCACTATAAATAGCCACTGTTCTAATATTCATTTCATTGCATGCACGAAAAACACGAATTGCAATTTCCCCTTTGAAAAAAAAAGCAAAAAAGGTTAAAATGAAATTTAAATCTATTAAGTAGTAGAATACAATTTAGTTTGAAAAATTATATAAGAATTGTATGGTATTTCACATTAACAATGATAAAGCTAGAATTTTTGCTGTTACCGATAAAATTTATTTCTGTCATCTATAACGATCATATGCTATCATGTAAAACAAAAGAGAATCAACAAATTTAAGATGGTCTAATTTATAAACAATCTATGATAATTAGTCATGAGTTTTAAAATGAACAACCAACCATTTAAAAGTGTTAGAATGTAATAATCGAGTAAACAAACCGAAGCTGCTACCTTGACGTGGTGGTCGGGCTTGCCTATCATGATGACCCAACCAAGCTATACTGGCTGGAACATGTGTTCCTGCAGGTCCTACCATGCCAGGCAGGTCGATTGGAGAACGATGAGACTAAAAGCAGCTACTCAAGGTCTGAGGGCGAAGTCGTACTGCTGACTGCAGAGGGGTGTGACAGCAGTAAGGTGTTTCCCTTGGACAACCAGCATCTGCAGCGATGCTGCCTTCTCACAAGGAAGGAAGGGTTAGAAAAAGTCGACCCTAAAACTGTCACACCTCACCTAACTCGCGGATTTCCGTCTCCGGCGGTAAGGATGCCCACTAAGGGCCTTTAAGAACGGAGCTAATCCTCTAAATACCTCTCATAAAAAGGCCGTGCGTGACCGGCCTCAAGCAGTTGTCCCTTGGGCTCTGCGGTCACGCACCAACACTAATCTATCTTCCTTTTCAGGTCCCTCAAGAAACAACCTTCCACGGTGTGGGCAGCCGGGAAGTGACAACCGCCCTCATACCCGTAACAGCACGCGAGACCAAATTGGTCAAAATCAAATTCTTCCTACACCCCCTAATGTCTCTCTTATCTCTACGACTAACTCTACTCACACTCCCTTTTCTCACTGCACCGCTAATGCTGACTGAAAAAACGATCGGAGACAGATTTTTATATTCATTTATTTCTTGTCTCTCTCGTTACATTTTGTGATTTCTTTGAATAATAAGTTCAGCTTAATTATCAAGTTGCAGGTATTTTTTGTTATTTTGGCTTAAGAAATTAATGATACTGATAAATTATATGAAGCTAGAATTCAAAGCGAAATGGTTAGAATGTGCTTTGAACACAAGCACTAATTCTTCTGAGTTCTCTAGCTCTTTATTACTACCAAGACCATTATTTATATTTTCATCCTTATGTTTTAATAAAAAAGGAGAACTAAATACAATGGGATGATCTAAGTTCACTTCCAATCATGTGCTCTAAACCGTGGTTTGGCGGAACACAGTTTATTGCCAGCCTATGTTTACAACGTAACACATGTCCCAATCACCTTAGTTGTAGATTTATATCTCTATTGGCTGATTTTCCACCTTTTTTAAGTACCCCTTGTCTAACATTAACTTTTCTTATCCGGTCGTTTAAAAAAATGTGGAAAATACTCCAAAGACACCTATAATAAGCTTAAAACTTACTTGTCGTATACTTTCATAGACCATGTTTCACGGTCACAAAGTAGAACAAAGAGGACAACTGGGAAACACAGACGGCCTTTGGTAAGCAGATAGACGGCTTGTCTATATCGCAAGTGATGTAAGTTGTCAAAAGTCTAATGGGCTTCTTGAATGCGTGTCGAAATTTCGCCAGACACAAATTCACCAAGCCTGACTAGACTTCCGAGATAATTGAAGTGATCAATGCGCTTAAATACGACACTACCTATCATTAATTTAAACTCTAACTTGACTAATAGTGTTTGAGTAGAGATCCTCTTGAAGGTTTATGTACTTTCCGGTACGTCATTCAATGACAAACGCTGTCACAGAATCGACCAGTAAGCTGAGTTAAACATTACCTTAAAGTCAATAAACACCACTAATGTCAAACCTCAATAAGTAAGAGCGTGCTCTGAAACTTTAAGAATGAATATTTGGTCAACATAACCATGTCCATTTCTGAGACCAGCCTATTTTCCCAGGCTCACTATATACGAGACCTAGCTGGGAGTTGGATAATCACAAAGGCTAATATTTCAGACACCATATAAGTCAAACACTTAAAACGTACAGATATGTCTGTTCACGCCGAACTCATTCACAAACATAAATTAGGTGTGGTGCTATTGGCGTTAAGTGATTTAGTTTAGATAAGTTCGAAATCTAATAAAGACAGCATGTGACTGTTCTGCAGGTTGATAAATAGAACATCACAAGTTAACTGTCGTCGATAAGCGGCATTTTTGAATATTTCAGCACTTATTCGAAGCTACTAATTAAATAATTATGATGCTATGCAACATGTTTCGACAAACAGATAAAACTCAGAACTTCGTACATAAGTACATCAGTTCGGGGTGCCATACCACATCAGCACAGAGACACAACTATCATTTCAAATCCAAGAGTGATAGCAATAGTAGAAGTATTAGCAGTAATGGAGAAGATTAGGGAGCGAAAATATGATTCGAGAAACATAATTCAGTGATACAAATTTAGAAGGAGAAATATAGAGATTATGAAGCAGTCTCAGGATTAGAATTTCAGAGAACACAAAGAGTGGATGCACCTGCGCAATTGCAAACGATTTTAAGCCATGTCGTTCAAGGTCTCTAACCAGTGGTGACTTTCGTCTCGCGTACCCCAACCAGGTAGCCTGCATCTATCTATATGACTCAGTCCATTTGACAATGACTTCATTGATTTCTGCCAAGTTCTGGTTTGGCCGCGCCCAGCTTTCTTCCAACCTACTCCTACACCATAAAACATAGCGTATCGAGGCAGTCGGTGCTTGGACATTCGTAACACATGTCCCAACCACGTCAACTGATGAAGTTTTAATACTTCATCTATTGATTTGCCATCCCTACCTAGAACTCGTTTCCTAGCGACAGCATTGCTTACTTGCCTGTCCCAGTATATACGAACATTGCATGGGAGACATCTATGATCGAATACTAGTAACTTACGAATATCTTCTACTCTTACCGGACATGTTTCGCATCAATATAGTAAGACGAAGCGAACTGCTGCACAGTACACTCATCCTTCGGTTAGCAAACAAATATCTCGCCTGCGCTATAAATAACGAAGGTTGGAAAAGGCCAATCGACATTTCTGTATACATGCTGAGATTTCGTCGGTCACCAGGTTATCAGCACTGATAAAACTCCCGAGATAAGTGAAGCGGTCTACACAATCGACTACTTCACTCCCTATCACTAGTTCAGGTGCCGACGCAACCCAACCATGCCAGGCAGGTCGATTGGAGAACGATGAGACTAAAAGCAGCTACCCAAGGTCTGAGGGCGAAGTCGTACTGCTGACTGCAGAGGAGTGTGACAGCAGTAAGGTGTTTCCCTCGGACAACCAGCATCACAAGGAAGGAAGGGTTAGAAAAGGTCGGCCCTAAAAATGTCACACCTCACCTAACTCACGGATTTCCGTCTCCTTGGGTAAGGGTGCCCTCTAAGGGCCTTTAAGTACGGAGCTAATCCTCTAAACACCTCTCATAAAAAGGCCGTGCGTGACCGGCCTCAAGCAGTTGTCCCTTGGGCTCTGCGGTCACGCACCAACACTAATCCATCTTCCTTTTCAGGTCCCTCAAGAAACAACCTTCCACGGTGTGGGCAGCCGGGAAGTGACAACCTCCCTCATACCCGTAACAGCACGCGAGACCAAATTGGTCAAAATCAAATCCTTCCTNC